TTTATTTGATTTTTGGGGGTGGGTTTGATACCAGTGGTTTCTTTTCTCTAGTAGAACAGCTGTTATTACATTATTTTTTTTCCAACTAGAAAACCTTTGGCAGCATGCAACAAGTTCACAATACAGAGTCTAATAATAACGCTGTAACCAGGCTCCGGCGGAGGTGTGTTTTACTCATCTGTCTTTGCAGTTGCTTTTCTCACATGCAGTATGCAGCTTTTGTCTGGTTTGTTTTGATTCTGCATACCCACCGCAAAGGTCACAGCATGTATGCAAAACTGCATGGGTGTTTTTGCGTAAAAGAAAATAGTTTTTGTTGGCAGTTTAAAAAAAAAAACTAAAAAAATTGTGCGCATATATTAGAGTCAAGAGGTGTTTCTGTAAAGACAATGGTAAAGTTTTTTTAAATTTCCATATTTAGTTTGAATTTCATATCTAGTCTAGCTCGAGGATGCCACCCACATCTTACAAGAAAAATTACTTGAAGTCTTTATATTTTAATATCATTTTCTTATTATTTTATATTATGCAGTGTAGGGCTGGGCCATATCATATCGTTCACGGCAATACCGGTATAATGTTGGGCAACGATAAGAAAATGAAATATGGCGATAGAATATGGGTAAAACGCGCATGCGCAGTGCCTTTGTTTTCATTAGCACATGACGGCAATAGAGAATAAGAAGGGCAAAAGCGGATCGTTGAATGAAACAGATGAACCAGAACTGGTTTGTAAAAATCTGCAACTTCAGTGGTGTGGAACTGGTTTAGCTTTCGTCCGTCAGATACACAACAAAGCACTATTTTTGGTAGAGCATGCTAGCGGGCCGTCGTTATTACTGTGTTTTTTGGAAAATACGGCACACTTAAAATCAATCCTTTGATTTTTCTGAAAATCGACAGTGCCCCTTATAATCCCGTGTGCCTTATGTATGAATTCTGGTTGTGTTTACTGACCTCGAAACGATTTTATGTTGTACACGGCGCTCGAAAATCTGTCAAATGTTTTAGTACGACTTTGCTAAGCTACGAACCCGCACCGCTTGATGGATTGTCGGAGCATTACGGCTATCGTAGGCAGGAGCCTCGCGGAGTGATACGTACTGTGCTTCAACATAATATTACCGTATTGTGTGTGTATAACCTCTTTTTAGTTTTGTGGATATTATACATGGTTATGCTGAGGATATGTCGGCCAGTTTCCACTGGAAAAGCCTTTTGTTAAACTGTCAGCAAGGAATTTGCATTTGCACTGTAATTTTTATATAACTTTAATGCACATAAAAAACAGCTGCTTGTTTAAGTGAAAATACATTGATTTTTTTTTGCACTAATAAGTTGTGGAGTTGTAAAGTATTTTGTCTAGTGTAATTATATCGTCAGTTATATCGTTATCGCAAATTTTCAAACGTATATCGTGATAAATATTTTTGGTCATATCGCCCTGCTCTAATGCAGTGTAATTTTTATCTGTCCATGTGAAGGCTGGTGAAGGTAACCACTGCCCACAAACAAAAAAGATGTATCCTGAACCTGTAGTGCAGTGTTTTCTTTTGGTTTTTTCGTAGTTAGTAGACAGTCGTGTTTTTGAATGATGGAGCGAGATTTTGAGTCCCTGGGAATTTTATTAGGTACACTTTGCTAGTACTGCTTTGGGCCCCTTTTTGCCCTCAGAGATGCCTTCATTTTTTTTGTGGCATAGATTCAGCAAGGTGCTAGAATCAAAGATTTGGGTCACTCAGGTTCTGCAGATTTGTGAGCTGTTGAAACACATGCTGGAGGTGCTCTAATAGACTGAGATCTGGTGACTGTGGGGTCAGAAGCTGCCACAGAAGATGGATACGATGCTCGGTTGGTGCAAATGGGCCCAAAGTGCGCCCCACACCATTACAGGAAACTGCCTTGAATCAACCAACTGTTGATACAAAACAAGATGGATCTGTGCTTTTTTTGTTATTTACACCTGATTCTGACCCTAACATCTGAATGGTGTAGCAGAAATACTGACTCCTCAGATCAGATCATTTTTTTTTCAATATTCTGTGCTCCAATTTTGTTGAATTCATGCAAATTGTAGCCTCGGTTTTCTGTGCTATGCATTCAAAGATGCTCTTCTGCAGACTTTTGTCGTAACAAGTCGTTATATGAGTTCCTGTTGCCTTCCTATCAGCTTATAGAAGTCTGGCTGTTCTCCTCTGACCTCTGGCACCAACAAGGCATTTTTACTTTGAGAACCGACGCTCAGCCCATTACCATTCAGCAGTCACTGCAAAGCCACAGCTGAACATGATTAATCACTACTGAAGGCTTAGTTGTGATGACCTGTAGCTGGCTAAACCTTAACACTGGTCTTGGGTAAACAAACACTGGAAACCACATTGCACATCCACGATTAATATCTAAACACAACTGAAACCAACACTAATGAATGTTACTACTTCCAATGAGTCTTAAGGGGTTTCCACACAGGCATCGATTAGCAGTGAAGTGACTACCAGACACCGTAGAAAGTAAATAACATTCAGCAACTTCATGTAACAACAGGCGAAGTGGGCAGCTGCTGGGTTAAATTTGTCTTTTTTCTTTTTTTAATTGTATAAAGGCATTGTGCATGAATATTTGCATAAAATAATAGTGGCCCATGTGAAATTAGACAAAGTATCTCAGTATGCACCAAAAAGGTTTTAAAGTTTCCTTCCAGTCCTTCAAAACCAGTACAGGTGATGTCATACCCCTGATATCTCCAGTTTAAAAAAGGAAAAAATGCAGGAACCCTTAACATTTTCAAGAATAGGTCTAAAAATACCAAGAAATCATGTCAGGAAATGTTTATCAGTCATGCTGGTGTCTGATGTTTCTGCTGTTTCAGATGGAAAATTTCTTATCTAGTTCACTTTTCCAGGTCTTCAGGTGTATTTATACACTAATTTCTGCCTGGTGCCGTTTTATTTCCATGCAACACTCTGCAAACAACCACAACTGTTCCTCAGTCCTGTCACGCGAAGCAAGTGAGATAAAGTGGAATTGTTTACCAGACAATAACATGATTCTGTTTCACTGAACAACAGCAAGGAAGTACATCAAGTAGGCATGTCGGGACAGCTTGCACTGCAGCACAGGTCTCTCCCAGCGTGCTTGTCAGCGGTAGATGAATTCACATTCTGTTCTCAGCTGTTTTCCCTTCGGGGGCCATTGCACTGTGGTTTGTAAAATATCTCAGTGAGTGAAAAGGCAACAAAGTGGAGCAAAGGTAAAGAGGAGCTGACTGCCAGGAGAGTCGTGCGACTGGCAGGCGGGTCTCATTTCCTGCATCATGATCTTTTTTTCTGGGTTGTTTCTTTCAAGCACATGGGTCTAAAAATAAAGGGAACATTAATCTCTCGCTGCTAGGTGAGGCGTCAGATGACTGAATATCCATTCATATGTCCCATATTCTCCTGTGGGAGAAGAAATGTATTTGTAAACAGAAAAGCTTAGCTGAAAGACTTGAATGGTCTTTTTTCACCAGTATTAGGGGTTTATTTTGAGGGGAAAAGGCAGTTTTTCTGTATTCTCCTGCAAGAATAAACAAAAGAATAAAAATAAACTTGTAAAAATTTTATTCCATGTGACTAATGGAGACTCCCTAAGGAACTAACTTGCACTGCCTTGTTACTACCTGGAATTGTGCATCACTTTTAAAGCTGATTTTTTACACCTGCACTTCAACTCTGAAATCTCTCGATTACTCAGCAAAGATGCGTGTAAGACCACTAACCAGCACAGTCAGATAGGAGCTGGTCGATAGCTTAGTTTTCTTCAAACTCTGTGTAATGTCTAATTACACCCATATGAGTGTAGTGCAAGTAATCACATGAATTCAGTGGGTGTGCTGAACCCTACACCACACCCAATAGACTACTTACAATAGTGAGAATGATGGCTATCTGTTGTATATGAGAAACAAATTACTACAGGATTCAACAACTTGTGGAGTTCATTTGTGAAAACTTCATTTTCACATATAAACGCAGCTAATTTTTTAAAATTTTTATTTTAGTGCTTCATACAGGAAAACTAAAAAGCAATTAGTGTGGAGTTGTTTGTAAGTTCCTATAATGGATCCATTTCACTTATTTGAAGCTATGCTCTTATATGGAAATAGATCAGCTTTGCATCATTAACAATCCATTCATTTGTCATTCCTTGTGTCCACTGTCTCCCGTAAGTCCAGCCTCCTTTTAGGCCAACTGTCATCTGATTGGCTGCCTTAGTATGGTTATGTATGAGATAACCATACTAAGGTATCCAAACGAAAAAGGAGATCCTGGGTGTGTAATACGTAAAATAAGAAAATCATGAAAGGTTTCTTTTAATGTCAATATAAATTTTGATTATGAGATTCGTAAGCAACAAGGGTGGCCAAAGTGCTTTACAAAACCATAGATCAGTAAAATAAATACAATTTTTAAAAAAAAACGGGAAAAACAAACAAATACGATAAATTGGACTTAAAACAAAAAGACACCAAAACAAGAAAACCTAATCAAACTTAAACTAAATTCAATAAGTCATTATTTTTATCTGTTTCATCAACTCAAGCCAAGTTTTCAGTTTATAACACGCCATTGTGATCCCCTGTTTATTTGACCTGTAGCACAGAACACCCCTCTGGAGCTTTTTGTCTCTGTCAGCGTCAGTTATGTTTATATAGCGCATTTCATTGCATGTAAACTCAATGTGCTTAGCATAAAAGATAAAAATCTAAAACACACTGTGTAGCTCAATGGTGCCTTTAGGCAATAGACAGATCAAAATAAAAGTTTACAGAGAAACGCAGTACAAAAGTTCCTTTTTTTTTATACTGCGTTTAGGTGTGGCAGCTCAGAACGGCTACAGTATAAACACTTGTGGTCTGAGAACACGGTTAACTGCAGTAATTCGTTGAGCAATACCTTTTGTATGACACCAAATAAACAAGTCTGAAGCTTTTAATCCTGTTTGTCTCTGCAACCTGACAGCTAAACAGCTAAACATCGTTTGAAACACCAGAGGTAAACATCACACTGGCCCAGCATGCAAGAGCACCACAAGCATCCTCTGCTGTTCCTGGAAAGTTGGCAGACTGTTTGGACTTTATGCTCTCGAAGGTTCCTTTTCAAGGGAGGGGGATATTTCCAGAGCAGCATGGAGATGGTATTTCTAAGCATCTGCCTGTCCTCTGTGTAGGATGGGCTTCAGGGTAAAACTCCAGCTGCACTTTGCTCCACTAATACGAGTCTGTTTACCTTGTTTTCCATTAGACATACAGGGGAAAAAACCTCAACTACTATGCACACTGATGGCTTCGGTTCACTAACATCACTCAAAGCAGTTTTCCTCACAGTCGCTATGGTTACAACTTCTTATATGTAGCTGTTATGTAATAGATGGTAACGAAGCGTTATTCACTGTGCCAGCGCTGTTACTATCTCTCTTGGTAGAGTCAAACTTGCCGTTGGTCCGTGAGTGACCGAGGCATAAACCGCTACAGTAATCGCATTTCTTCAATCATGACAAGTCAACGGCATTTTCATAAATATGGAATATTATCAGGTCAAAGTAAGGTCACATACCAACACATGCAAACACTGTATCCTCCTCTTTCCCGGCTAGATGACGTAGGACGCATGAAATGTAATGGAACAATTGTGGTGAACTGAAATCACTCTTGCATTGCAACTTACTAAAGTTTCCAATGGGCCAGTACAAGCTTATACAGCATCTTTGGGATTAGATAGATACCAATATTCACATTTATTCACCTTTAATTTGATTTATAGATCAATATCTTTAATGATTATTAACGATATCCTTCATTTTTGGGCAGATTTCTGGGCAGCAATTTTTTTTCTAATGATGTACACATTTTATGAAGTGGCTACAGAGGTTCAGTAGTTATCAGCAGTAAATATTTAAAGCTCTGAAACACAGTGGGAGGTTCAGATAATGATTCGGAAAGATTATTCAAGAAGAATGGGTCAGACTTTGCACACAGCTGTCCTGGGATCTGATGTAGTTCACCCTTCACCTTCTGACAGCTGATGTGAACTGAAGCGTGATGCTGACTGCGTTAAGAAGTTCATTTTCAAATCTTCACTTCTAAATTCAAATAAAGAGTCAAGTTTTGCAATCCAGCTTTCATATAAATTTAAAAAGTGTTGTAGTCCTTGTAAATCAGCACTTGAAATGTACATTTTTTCCTTCTAGAAAGCCACCAGTACTTGTTTGATGTATGTAGATTTAATGTTTTAGTTTTACATGTTGTATCTGTAGCTGCCTTGATAAATCATTAATTCTTTAATCTATATATCTATACACAGAGGTCACTTTATTGAGTTTTGGCTTTGAGCACAGCAGCCCTATCCATCTGATGTTCACACCTTAAGTTTGTAAGGGGCAAATCTATCAGAAGAAAGTTAGCTTAGAGGGAGGGCTTGTTGTAGGGAATCATGCAAATCTGTTCCTGTAAGAGTCCAAAATAAAATTATGTAGCTGGGAGTGAGCAAAACAGGTCACCTTAATCTACAGCTGTAGGGATGTATAGCATAGCTGAAACACAATCTCTCAGTATTGTTTATAGCTTATGATTTTAGGCTGCTGGTAGCAATTGTTTATTTTTCTCCACAACCTGCTCTCATTAAAATAGATTTCTCTGTGTCCAATCATGTGCTCTCTAGTAGAGACAAAAGACTCTGCTTTGCTGAAATGATCCAGATCCATGTGAAAATGCTCCAGAGCTTTTTAGATCATAATATTTTAGATGGAGCTGATCCCCCAGCTCCTCTTCAGAAAGAGCATGTGGAGCTGGTGGAGGATCTCTGGAGAGTGCTGGGAAGGATCCATAAAGAGAAGCCAACAGACACCAGAACAGTCTCCAGTAAATTCGAAGCCCTCCACTCCAAGCTGCTCACCTGAGGCCCGATGAACCTACAGCACCAGGCCGAGTGCTGCTGAGAGTCAAACACTGTGAGAGAGTATGTTCAGAGTATTGAATTATTTTCCCTCCTCTGCTTTGAGCAGTAGGCGAGGGAATCAATTTACTTTTGGTCCACACTGGCAGGTCCAACTGTAGGAGGTGTAGCAGGATTATCAGGGCATCAGTATGAATGTTTTACTCTTCATTTCTTTTTTTACATTTTTTTCTGCATGTCTTATCTCTCACTGATGTAGACAGATTTCAGTTTACTGGTGATACCAGGTGATTGTAAAACACCAGATGCGGTGAAAAGGTGCCACTGTATGCGAAAAGGGTGACGAGGAGTCTCAAGTAACTCCTCTGCAGGCTTCACGAAGCCTTCTGTCAACACTATGTTGGCAGGTCTGCTGCTGTATTGGCATGCATTTCACTCTGCTGTTGCATTGGTAAGTAATCATGGCATCTGAACACGCTTCACAAACATTCATAGCCTGTGCTATTGAAATGCAGTCGCTGTGTTTATCATATATTTCGTGCCTTTTGAAATTTGGAATCATTGTCCTTAATGTGGTTTAAAAAGCCTACTATGAACCTGCGAGCTGAAACACTTCCAATGAATTGGAATCTGAAACTTCTTTTGTTTTTAATATTTTTAATATTTATAAGGATTATAAGTCCCTGCGCTGTTGTTGCAATGGGTCTGTGACTCTGAGCTATGGATTCTGTATAGTAGGCAGGGGCAACACTTTCCAGTACTGACTTTCCAACTTTCCTGTGAGGGCAGATTACCATTGTTCTCTGTTTCCTTGTGTAATGTCATCCACAATATCCACAATTACAAAATGTACCACACTAGCCAAAATGCTTTTAACATTGCAATTTAAAAGCTACTTGAAAGTATTTGTGCTGTCATTGCTTTTTAGTAATTGCATCATTAACTGTACTGGGAAACCAAGCCTTCCTTGGAACCAGCAAGAATTAAAAGAGGAAGTAAGCTAGCTGTTCATGAAAGGGAAGAGTTGCTCATTTCTATCATCCTTCCGCCAATCTTCTTCCGCTTCAGTTTCGCCGAAGGGGCGGGAACTGTGCTAGCTGTTAGGATGAGAGGCGGGATACACCCTAGACAGGTTGCCAGTCTGCCACAAGGCTGATAAAGACAACCATCACTCTTACTTTCACACCTATGGGCAATTTAGAATTGCTAATTAAGCCGACCCCAATGTATGTCTTGGGCTGGGAGACAGTCAGAGTATCCAGAGAGAACCCATGCAAACACAGGGAGAGTATGCAAACTTCAAAGGCTTTAGCTGGTGGATTTGAATCCTCTTGCTGTGATGTAACAATGCTAACCACTGCACCACCCTGCTGCCCTGACTTCTATTAAAAATATACATTCTGTCTTCCACCATAGCAAGAAGATTCTACCACAGTGAACAGACTGAAGGTTTATTTATTATTTATCGCTTTTCAAGAACAAAATTCACAAAGTGCTTTACAATACAGAATAAGATGCAATCAGATAGTTTTTTTCACTCAAGCTTTGTTTATGTAAGCCGTGCCATGCCTTTAAGACTAATGGGCTTTTTCTATACAAACTTTGCTTATATTAAGCTTTTTTAATTGTTGTCAAAGTTCAGAAGATTATTAGGATTTAAAGAGGTGACTGTGCTGTTAAAATGCATTCCTGTAAGACCAACAAATGTAGAGAGATATTGTGATAAAAAAGGAAAGTTAACGCTTACAGGCAGTTTAAACATGGGATATTGCAGCTGTTGCATGCTTTACTTTGCTGTTCTAGCTTGTTGTGCACCTCCCAAGTTTTATGACCTGTCACATGCAGCATGACCTGCAGGGCTGGAGATCTCAAGAAGTACCTCTGTGAAGCATCAAAGCTGCAGAGCAAGAATTACCAGATGGTACTGAGGGAGATTGCTTTAACAGTTTTTAATTTTTTTTTTAAAGAAGCGAGTTCCCCAAGAAAACCTCTGCGATCCCTTTGTTTTATCTTTTACCTTCTTCTACTCTTCTTCAATCCAGTGAAGTGTTTTGTTTTTGGGGTCTGAGAAATGACATTTACTGTGTTGAAGAAGACGGCAGAGAGTGAGGTAGACCTCAAGTTCCAATATAAATGGTTATGGCGCTGCGTTGACATGACAGTGAGCAAGCAGTAATCAATGCCCCAACCATTTACAGGATAGTCAGCGATTGTGTGGTGTGCCTGTGGTGACTGTTACCACCCACTGTGGTCACCCCAGATCAAAATTTAGCCCAAGAATACTCCTGAACACATCCCTGCTGCGATGTTGCACGTTATCAGTATTGAATTGGTTACCAACTGAACACAAAAAATAATGTTTGCATGAGTAGACAGATTTAACCGCTCAAGCAGGACACAAACAAACAGTTGCTTTCATTTTTGGAATTTAAAATCAGAGGGTAGTTTGTAACCGTCATTATAAGCAGCTTCTAAGTAAAACCTAGAGTGCGTTCTCTATAATTAGACTAAACTGAAATAAGCACTGACAACATCATATGCTGCTAGTCAAGTGTTATAAATACAAAACATTTACGAGAATTGATTGCTCTTCCTCACTCTGTGGGCAGAACAAGACTCACTTTGGCCTGTTTTTTTTTTTTTTCCATCATATGCGAACGCCATATGCTGTTATTCATCACTTTTTAGCCCTTCTGTGTAGCAAACAGCAAACATGTTTTTTGTTCAGACCCATTTCTGTGAAACAGGTGAAATTTCCAAGCAGCACAAAGCAAAATTATCCCACCCAAGTCACTGCTGCTTCATATTTCTGTGAGTTATATTATACTATTGCATTTTTATGGCCTGTTTGCATTAAGATCTCATTCAGATGTAATATTGATGGGAGCCTGCTGCAGGTGGAAAAACAAGACAAGCTTATGTTTTATTCAGCAGACAACCTGTGCCGTCTGGATGTTGACACTCAGCGGCACCTTGTATGCATAGTCGAGAGAAGAAGAATCTAAACAGCCGTTTATCATGTATATGCCCAGGATTGTTTGGGATTGTGTAAAAATCAGCCGTGGTGAGCAACCTATTTGTCTTGCTAACAATGAGTAAATCCAATAGACCAATATTTAATTATGTCTGAATGTTCTAAATGCTATGTGTGATAGTCGCATGAGTGCATCAGGGATGCAGAACTGACAACTGGCTGTTAATCTTAGCTAGGATTAAAGTGTACCTTCCCCGTCTGCCTCGCAAGTTAGAGAGCGAAACATGAGTTTCATTTAATCAGCGAGCAGCATCCCGATGTGAAGACGCTGCTCATCCAGAGAAGAAATCCCTCTTGAAATTCCACATCGTTGCACAGAAGCCATAGAGCTTAAAATGCTGTCCTACGGCTACGGTACTCTGATGGGATGAAAATATGAGGCTTTTTTTTCCCCTGGTGTGAACGAAGGGTTTAATGATGAGAACCTTTGAGGCCAACAAGTACCTGCTTCCTGGTTGAATTTGCATGTTCTGATGATGAGTGCGAGGAGCTGCATGGCCCTGATGAAACCCCTTCAGTGCTGCAATCGGCCAATCTCTGATAGGCTTCTCTCCCAAGTGTCATGTTGGCTGCTTGATGTTTAACTGCACATTCAAATTATGAGCCTGCACTTGCTTGCTTTGAGTAATTTGCTTTGATAGATTGGGTTGTGTCAGTGGCTTTGATTGCACGCAATGCATTTGTAGAGCTGCTTCAGCTTAACAAGCTCCATTTTCTTGTGCCATTCAGAAAACATGATGGATTTGTGCTGCCCTTCTTGGCCCAGGACGCTATCACTGTATCTCAGGAGTTTTACTTCCTGGTGAAAATAACGCTTAAAGAGAAATCATGTTGCATTTAAAAATGTTAATGCAAGAAGCTGCGATAAGAGCTTAGTTAGCTGCCAGTTATAGGTGTTACATCTTAAAAGTTGCCACTTCGCTGCACATTAGCAACACTAGCTTTCATTCGGAGCCTTGTTTCTGATCACCTGCTGTGAATCACAGTTAGTTTGTAGATTGTACTCAGATTTCTGCACATCAACACATATCAACAGATTCTGGTGGAAAGACTTTTGGTATTTGAAACTTTCTGGTTTCTACTTGTAGACCACTCATAGTGTGAGCTGTATTAACCAATCCTTTTTTAATTGCATGTCTAAAATAAGGACTGGATTTGCTGAAAATCAATCAGGCGATGATTTGTACAGGAAGTCTCAGTACGGGTGTCGGCTGGCTATACCAGCACCAAAATTGGCTGTTGCCTTTGTAATCGTTTAATTGTTCTCAGCTTTTTAACATAGTGGAGACAAAATCTTTCAAAGCATATGTATGATTTATTCTTTTTTAATTTATAGTAATGTCACCACGCTGAAAATATTTGCTTCTAATACTTAAAGAAAAGCTCAAGGCCGAGTCATCATTTCTGTGATATCATTTCAGATTGTAGTCTATTCCTAAACTGTAGACTTAAAAGGAGAGCAGTCGTCTCTACAGTTGCATAGTACCTTGACTAACTGGTATCTTTCAAAAACCAGTGGAAGCATTAATAATAGCACTAATCTTTGATGTGTCATCCACTTGTCATGCTTCCTCTTCCACAACTGAGCCACCCATAATCTGACAGCATCTTGAGCTGAATGACTGAATGTGTTTGTGATTTCCTCCAGTAGTGGTCCATTAGCTTGAGCACCAGTTTGAAAATCGAATTCAAGGTCGTGATGGTGGAGGGGGGGGGACTATCCCAGCTTTTGAACAGACCCATTAGAGGTAAAAGATTTGACCATCAGAGTCGCACAATATCTGCTCTTCAGCTCCGTGTAATGTTTTTGTTGACACAAAAGAGTTGGAGAGTTGGAGTTGATGAAAAACCAGGGTGCAGCTTTATCTCCGTAGCTCTGAGCTCTTTTGTCATAACTGGAGCATAGCCATCGGGCTGATTTGCTTTTGTTGTTATCCGTTGCTCAGGGCGACCTTGGAAACAACGTGTAGTACCACCCTACCTCGTGTGTGGGTCTGCAAAACACCATCATGTTTATTCCAAATCCTGATGAGCATGTTTAATGTTGCATGCCCACCATAACTGACAGCGTCATACAAAGATTTGTTCACTGCAGGGGCCGACCAGTGAGTGAGAGCTTTGGTGAAAGTCCAGTGCTTACAGTTGCATAACAGCACAGCCTGTTGCACAGGACATTAACCTTAGGAACTCTTTACTAGATGACCTGCTTGCTTGAGTGGAAATATTTGCTTGACCTGTTGACCCAGATAGTATGGCTGAGTCCTACTGCAGATGGTGCATTATTGATTATTGAGTGTACTGGACAAAAAAGGAGTAAAGCTACCTTCATCTCATGATATCTGTTTTTCAGCTTGCAGATAGCTTAACACTGACATGCAAATCGGTAGCTGATAACAGCATGAATAACAGCCGTGCCGATCACTAATAACCACTGAGCTGTATCCATGTCTCTCCCAGAGCAACAGCAGACAAAGTTGGTGTTAAAGATCCCCAATGGGCAGTTTAGTTGTAGCCAAATAACATCTTAATGAGATTTATTCAGATAAGGGTCAATATTGGGGGTGGCGGGTGGATTTAGAACTGGTGGCTTGAATGGCTTTGATCAATTATCAGACAATGAGTTTTCAATCAGTTGATTTTTGAGTTGAAATTGTGACATTAGGCTACCAAACTGGTCGTGAGATTCTAATAAACATTGTTAAAATCTGTTTCACAAAGAAAATTTAAAAAAGGTTGGGGTTAAGGCATTTCTAAAAAGGTAAAGGAATGGATGGATAGGACCACATATTTGTAGCCAGATTCCAAAATGTGGTCAAAAACAGAAGAGGGAGGCTGTTACAGCAGTGAATTAACATCCTTGGTTGGGTAATGGATGTAAAAGATATTTCTGCCTGTACTATGCAACTGCATTATTAGAGCTTATGATATTCTAAGAATGGTGTGTATTTACTTGTACTTGCAGAACCCAAAGAAAGCTAGTCGTGACTGTTGTGCTCCACTCCTGAACCGCACTATAACACGTACACCTCTCTTTTATCATCAGACATAGCTGTGGTGGAGATGACAGATGCCTTCCGCCAGCCTTCGCTCTTCTACCACCTGGGAGTGAGAGAAAGCTTCAGCATGGCCAACAACATCATCTTGTACTGCGACACTAACTCTGATGCTCTCCAGTCTCTGCAGGTAAGCCGCCATCATGAACAGAAGCCAATATATGCTGATATATTTGTGCCTCAGAGCAGCTCAGGCTTCTTTGTTAAAAATACTCTCAGCACAGGCAGCATCACAGCTGAAAATCTAAAAATGTTATACCCTAAAAGTCAATTTCGACAATCCTTCCAAAAATCCAGTTAGCGGCCTTCTTGTTCGGTTGTTTTGAGAAATGAGATTGTGCCCTCAAACACCGTGTTGGTCTGAGTGTAGGATTTTATTCAAGGGTAGAAAATTTTGGGTAACTTTTCCAATTTTATAATAAAAACCTTGCATTTTTAATTTATTTTTAAATAGATTACTTATTTAACATTGACATTGTTAATGCAGAAAGACAGTGAGAAAGACAGGGGCAACACAAGGTGCCCAACTATCCTGCAGAATGAAGCATAGGTCCAACCAAGACATGGCGCTCATGCCAGTGACCGTTAATAGGGTGTAAACACTAATGTTGTTCCTACAGTTAGCTCTGCTGCTAATTACCTCCAACAAGGAGGTTGTGTTTTCGGTATCATTTGTGTGAGTGCATGCTTGTGAGCGTGCTCAAGAAGTTTGGAATTAATTCTATTAGAACTTTGTAGGGGTGTAGAGAGGGGTCACGTTAACAATCCATTAAAATTTGGCTTACATCCACCAAGGTCTTCGAGGTCAACCTAATGATTTATTGCTCTAAAATTAAAAAGACCTTATAACTTTGGAAACTATGATACTTACAAGTGTGGTGGGTATTGTGGACACAATGCACACTTTTACACACATCACAAATTGCTGAAGATGTAGATGTGTATTACTCTGGTCATCGTGCAAAAAAGTTCATACTGCTTAAAGTCAATTTACAAAGAAAAAAAAATGACTGTATACAATATACTGTACAATTTCCATACAAAATGCCCAAAGAACGAGCTGGCCTGGAGGAGGTTTGCACTCTTGAACTGCTTCTTGTTATAAACTTGAAGTAATGGAACCAAGTGTTGATTAAAATTGCTCACAAAATGTTGTTTGTTTGTTTTTGTGGTCTTGTTTATGATTTTTAGAAAGCCACATTGCTGCTGAGGTTTAGAGATTTATTTTTTAATATTTTTATGAGCGCCACAAAGCAACATCAAATTCCTCAGCAACAATTTAGATAATTAAATACACTGGAAGTTTTACACTGGAAAGTGCTTGCAGGTAACAATAAAGTGCATACTACTCAATCCCTAATAGCAATATGTATTGACCAAAGCTGTGTTTATTTACCATAAATGTCAGACTACTTCAGCATGTAACAATGGTGTGAGTCTTGTAGTTTCTGTACTGCAGACAAAGGCATGGTTCAAACCGTCTGAGGCCCACGCAGAACACATTTTAAAATCGCCTGCTGTAGGCAACTTGCAGCAGAAGAACACTGACGCTTTTCTTTTAGTTAGTCTAGTGGGAGGAGTATTGTGGTGACAAGGGTCATGAGCCAGAAAACAAACTGTAGAGTCGACCCATAATGCACAGCCTGCACAGTCAGGGGAGGCGTGTCTTAAAATAAACACAACATAAAAAGCTGACATTCACAGCTGTATTATGTCTGCTTTTTATGGCAAGAAAATTGTTTCAAATGACGTTCTTTCCTGCTCCTGGTGGTATCTGGGAGGGGTTTTTTGTTCTGTGGTCTGCCATGGTGCCCACCCGTCTAGCTGGCTGTGGGTTAACTTGTTCTCACCATGCTTTGAAAGAATTCACTTAGACAGTTTCCTCAGATCTCTATCAGGCCACCAAATTGTTTTTTAAAGGCAGCTTTTTTTATACTCAGTTTTTTTCTTTAAACAATGGTGATCATGAAAAAAAAATCCTAAAAAAACATTACAGGGAGTGCAGAATTATTAGGCAAGTTGTATTTTTGAGGAATAATTTTATTATTGAACAACAACCATGTTCTCAATGAACCCAAAAAACTCATTAATATCAAAGCTGAATGTTTTTGGAAGTAGTTTTTAGTTTGTTTTTAGTTTTAGCTATTTTAGGGGGATATCTGTGTGTGCAGGTGACTATTACTGTGCATAATTATTAGGCAACTTAACAAAAAACAAATATATACCCATTTCAATTATTTATTTTTACCAGTGAAACCAATATAACATCTCCACATTCACAAATATACATTTCTGACATTCAAAAACAAAACAAAAACAAATCAGCGACCAATATAGCCACCTTTCTTTGCAAGGACACTCAAAAGCCTGCCATCCATGGATTCTGTCAGTGTTTTGATCTGTTCACCATCAACATTGCGTGCAGCAGCAACCACAGCCTCCCAGACACTGTTCAGAGAGGTGTACTGTTTTCCCTCCTTGTAAATCTCACATTTGATGATGGACCACAGGTTCTCAATGGGGTTCAGATCAGGTGAACAAGGAGGCCATGTCATTAGTTTTTCTTCTTTTATACCCTTTCTTGCAGCCACGCTGTGGAGTACTTGGACGCGTGTGATGGAGCATTGTCCTGCATGAAAATCATGTTTTTCTTGAAGGATGCAGACTTCTTCCTGTACCACTGCTTGAAGAAGGTGTCTTCCAGAAACTGGCAGTAGGACTGGGAGTTGAGCTTGACTCCATCCTCAACCCGAAAAGGCCCCACAAGCTCATCTTTGATGATACCAGCCCAAACCAGTACTCCACCTCCACCTTGCTGGCATCTGAGTCGGACTGGAGCTCTCTGCCCTTTACCAATCCAGCCACGGGCCCATCCATCTGGCCCATCAAGACTCACTCTCATTTCATCAGTCCATAAAACCTTAGAAAAACCAGTCTTGAGATATTTCTTGGCCCAGTCTTGACGTTTCAGCTTGTGTGTCTTGTTCAGTGGTGGTCGTCTTTCAGCCTTTCTTACCTTGGCCATGTCTCTGAGTATTGCACACCTTGTGCTTTTGGGCACTCCAGTGATGTTGCAGCTCTGAAATATGGCCAAACTGGTGGCAAGTGGCATCTTGGCAGCTGCACGCTTGACTTTTCTCAGTTCATGGGCAGTTATTTTGCGCCTTGGTTTTTCCACACGCTTCTTGCGACCCTGTTGACTATTTTGAATGAAACGCTTGATTGTTCGATGATCACGCTTCAGAAGCTTTGCAATTTTGAGACTGCTGCATCCCTCTGCAAGATATCTCACTATTTTTGACTTTTCTGAGCCTGTCAAGTCCTTCTTTTGACCCATTTTGCCAAAGGAAAGGACGTTGCCTAATAATTATGCACACCTGATATAGGGTGTTGATGTCATTAGACCACACCCCTTCTCATTACAGAGATGCACATCACCTAATATGCTTAATTGGTAGTAGGCTTTCGAGCCTATACAGCTTGGAGTAAGACAACATGCATGAAGAGGATGATGTGGACAAAATACTCAATTGCCTAATAATTCTGCACTCCCTGTATATATACTAAGTCTCAGTGTACACTTGTTGATTATGCTTCCTTTCACTGCCATATACTTCTCCATGTACAAACAAGTAATTTTTCATCTAAAGTCATCCTATAGGTCATCACGGTTTACTAGAAATATTAATCAGCTGTTGGGAAATCAACAAATATCCACAAATACAAGTCGTCCTCACAAAGTGTTTGTAGCTCAGGTATGGTGTACTGAATTGAAGTGTCATTCAGTAACATCATATCTAACTTAAATTGCCTCGGAGAAAATGCTAATGATGAATTTCTAAATGGATTTCTCTCTTTTCTTCTTTCAGGAGATAATTTGCCAGAAGAACACTGTAAGTACACGAGGCATTTCTTTCTTTTCCCGTTGCCTTTCACACATTACTCACTCATTGCTCACACATTACACACATTGTGTAGTGCAAAGAATATGCTTTTTACAGCGTGCAGGGAGCACAGTGTCCTGTTGCCTTATGTCTCTCTTTTCGCTATTGTAAAGGCTTTCTTTTGCACAGCCCACTTTTGTTTCGAAGCTGTGATAAATATTTGATTTCATGTAAAATGAAAACATCTTCCCTTCCACTTTCAAGATGTACGTCTCAGACAACAGCTGCTTTGAGAGTTACAGTGACTGCAGTGCCACAATCTGCATAAAAAGGCACAAGCATTTTGAGAATTTGACTTGCAAAAAGTGCAGTATTCAAATAAGGTGCTGCCTTAAAGCTAAGGAAATCCTGTCCTTTGCATATCATACTGTAGTTCCTAAAATTAGTAGATCAATATAGAGTCACCCACTGTACCATATGTTTTAAGTAAAGCCTTTTTAGCAGACATGCAAAGATTGTTGTTTTTGTTTTTGAAGTTTCTCTGCAGACCCATGAGCCTTGTTACAATGTATTAATATGTACAACTTTTCTTGTCTTATCAACCACTGAATGTGCTTTCGCAGCACAGATAAGCTGCAAAATCTCTTATTTCAGAGACCAAAGGTAAAGAATGTTTGTCATCTTAAAAATGATGAACTGATTCGGATTGACTTACATTTCTAAATTGCGCACTAATTGTGTCAATAACACAGATGCGGTCGGTAATCCATGTTCAGCAGTCAGATAAAAGGCTCTCCTAAGTGGCTTTCACAGTGAAAGGAGAGCTACATGAAATGTACTGTTCTCTGACACTGGCTCGTACCAAGAGGAGAGCTGATTATCACTCACAGTATGAGAGTGTGAGCTTACTGATCTCCCTTATGTGTACTTACTGTCTTTGTTCTTTCTCTTTCCTGCTTGTATTAATGCACTTAAATGCACTCTGCACCAGTGCACAGGCTCTTAACTAGCCATCTGTGCAGGTAAAAGTGCATTTAAATTGCAATACTGGACTTTTTGATCATTCTTTCCCTTCAATTTAATGTTATTACAGATGTTTTTCCCCCTGCAAACACCATAATTAATAGCAATTTTATGTCTTCCTTATTCTCTTTCATTCCCAAAAAGTTCCAGACTTTCAGCCAAGACTTTGTTAACATATCCACATGGCATTTCTTTCTATAATATAAGCAATATAATGATCTAAGCAAACACTCAGCATTGCCACCTTGGAACTGCAGTGAACTAATGATTCAAACGCAAGTATTTAAATAACCAGGGCTGCATGTGAAACATAACAAACCATTCCTTTCAACTTGTTTATCCATTCTTTGTTTATCTGATGAACAGGGTTTATTCAACATGTTGCTAATAATAAGCTGTTTGTTAATCTAGTGAAACCGAAGGCTCACAAACGAACCGAGGGAGGTTCCATGTGCTGTACCTTCCTGATTCTTCTGTATGACAATCATGAACTTGTTAGCTACAGCTATCACAGCATCAGATTTTTGCTTCATTTTTTTATTTTTGAAAGAATTCAAAGAAAAAGAATAATTACACATCCATTCATCCATCTATTTTCCTCCTCCAAACCAGTTTAGGGTCACATGGCCTGGAGCCTAATCTGGCTGTCAGGGGTGGACAGCTCACCAGTGTATTGCAGGGCTGATACTGAGAGACAGACATTCACACTCTGATTCACACATACAAGCAGTTTAGGATTAAGTCCAAAGCATGTCTTTGGACGGCGATAGAAAGCCAGAGTACCTAGGGAGAACCCCACAGACACAGAGAGAACATGCGTCACCGAGCTGCCCAGTGACCTCATTATAGAGCGCCGTTATCATTTACTTAAAGTTTTAGAAGCTATCTGATGAAACGCCAGTAGCCCCTCTGTTTTTAGTCTTCTCAATTGCCCGAGGGAAGTATCACCGTTTTTACCTGCTGTATTCGCCCCTTTGTTTATCTGCTACTCTTTAACCCAGTAGTTATCTGGTGTTGTGTACAGTGTAAAAAAAACTCTGACTGGAAACAGCTGCTTGTTAAGCCGAAAAACAATACAGTGGTGAGAGCAAATGGAAGCATTGTAACAGTAACACTCACCTGGAGTTAGCAGAAGCAGTTCAAACTTCCCTAAACCCAAGAAGATCTTCGGTTTAAGGTCCTGATTGCATATATTGTTATTGTTTAGGAAGCAGAAGGTTGATCTTCCCTCTGTAGTGCTGCAAATACATTTCTTTTTTTTGGTGACTGCTTTAAAATACACTCTGCAGCTGCAGATATGTCTGATTATTCTCATCAGAGAAAAGCATGTGCTCCTACTTGTCTGTAACTGTGTGTGTAGCTCACTACCATTATAACTGAAATCCAGGTAATTAGCTTCATTGTGTATGTTCAATTAAAATAAAAATGGTAAATGGCCTGTATTTATATAGCGCTTTACTCGTCCCTAAGGACCCCAAAGCGCTTTACATATCCAGTCATCCACCCATTCACACACACATTCACACACTGGTGATGGCAAGACCATTGTAGCCACAGCCACCCTGGGGCGCACTGACAGAGGCGAGGCTGCCGGATACTGGCGCCACCGGGCCCTCTGACCTCCACCAGTAGGCAACGGGTGAAGTGTCTTGCCCAAGGACACAACGACCGAGACTGTCCAAGCCGGGGCTCGAACCGACAACCTTCCGATTACAAGGCGACCTCCCAACTCTTGAGCCACGATCGCCCCATGACTGTAATTACATACACAAATGTCCCTCTGTGTCACTACACTTTCATTTACTTTCCCCACTTATTTCTATCTGCATTTGCTGCCCATAGGAGCATAGGCGTGTGTGTCGATTACCCTGTATCTCTGGCTATTGGATCCGAGTGGGACAGCCCATTTACAACTTCGCCAGATATCTTAGCATCATCAAGATTTGGTTGAAAAGTGAAACGATGTTCTGTCAGGTCGTTGAAAGCTTACAAACGACCTGCAAACAGAAACTTCTTCTTATGAGGCAGCAGTGCTAACCACAGCACCACGGTGACCTGCCAGAATCTGGGAACAGTGGTTTCAACTTTCTGGAAGCTCACACAAACAAATGTTTGCATCATTGCAACCATTTCCCATCTAAATTAAATATCAATATAATTTTTAAAGACATTGATTTGAATTTTTGAAACAATTCTTACTTTTAATGTCTGCTTAACATTAAGACATTATTCAGACTGAAAGTGCATTGATTGTTGGTTAAATTAGGTAGTACTTGGTTCACATTGCAATGGGATTTGACTAGACTGACCAGATGGCTGGTTTTAACCCACAAAACAACATCCATGGAGACTGTTGACTGGAGTCAATGGTCGTTTACACATGTGTCTCCAAGATATTCTCCTATATTCATGTTCAGTTATTGATTATCATTTACAACAAAGGTTAAAAGCTAGGTCTGTTGCCAGCAAGGCTCCATATTTTTTAGCAAAATGCTTCATGAGCTGCAGGCAAGAATGGACACCGTGACATGTTATCTTTTGTCCTGCTTAGGAATAGTTCAGGACAAATTATGATTTACATTTAAAAGCATACAGAGCCCAAATGTGCCCCGCAACACCTCAGGAGCAATGCAGGTTGTGTTTAGTGCTTTAGTCCACTTGTCCAAAACACATTTTAAAGGAGTGTAAACAGGCTCTGTGAAGGTGAGTGAGTAGGCTGCTCGAGAACATTGATGCTGAAAGTGAAGATGAGCAGATGGATCTTTGGCAAGACTGACTAAACAGATGACTCACTCTGTAAATACCTGGCTTATTCTTTGGATTCATCAGCCAGAGTTGTCACATGTGTATCAGCTCGGAAACCTGCTACCTGTAAAGGACTACTGGAGGTTAGCTTCAAATAACCCGCAGCTGCTGCCGCACTGAAATATGCATCAGCGTGTGAAAACAAATCTGTCATGTGAGCCCCATGACAGCATGAATCGCACAAAGAAGCTAAATATAGCATCAGCATTTTGCAACCTGTCTGGTTACACGTAAAAGAAATAGGGGTCACAGTCTTTTTTTTGTTTTGAAAGGCACACACTGCCGCTGCAGTTACTGGTGATGTCATGAACCACAGTTGTACAGGAGGAAGTAGTTATCTTCGGTTGGCTTTCATTGCTTCAATGCCACATGTTCCTCTTACTTCCTTTTTTTTGGCACTGAAAGCAGCAGCAGCAGTGTATTTTTGAGGTTGCTGAAAAACCGAAAGCATGATAGATTATTAAAGTCATCAGGATGCAGCTGGGTTGCAGCCCAACCGCCTTCAGATGCTCGTGTTGTTTCACCACATATCTCACACTCTGAGAATAGCTCTTCTTGACAGGACTTGTGCTGTTTCTTGAGGATATTAATTGTGGATTTCCTGCCTCTTTCTCGCTCTTTCTCTCTCCTCTGTCTGTAGACACCGCACGCATGTGTTTCGTCTTTGTTTATTCAGCAGTGGTGGGCCGCCGCAACAGAAACATCAAGAATGCGGTGTAAATAATGTCAAGTTAAAAAAGCAAATACAGATACACAATAACGGCTGTCGAGTATTAAAGCTAAGTGAATAAAGAAAAAGGCCTTAAATGCTACTAGTGCGGCCAAACCTGAAACAGACTTGAAACACAATTACTCCATAATGGCACAGCTGGAGCAAAGAACAGGGTAGAGCTTTGCAGCAGGTGAGCAGGGAGACTTCAGCTGCTGCTGCTCGATTTTTCTTGTGCACTAGGCTGCTTGAGCGAGTGACATTTGAAAATGAGGTGCTGTAAGTGTTTGTGGTTATAAGACAGCACCTCCTAATGAAGCTGTTGCATATCTCACCTTCCTCTGCTGCCTGTTTAGACTAGTTCACTGAAGACAGTGCTACATAAACACTACTGTGTGAATAGGGAGATCGGAGATTAAGGTTCATGTAATTACCCGAAACCATTTCAAATAGGGGAAATTACTGCAGACTTCCCCCCCAGGCAATCTGCTTCCTCCCTATACAATGTAATGTTTCATTGCACAGGTCACTGAAATCATCCGGAAGTTGAGTTTATTGAACAATTTCGATACGTTAGTTTTTAAATGAAGCTATATATTCTGATAGATAGTAAACCTCATTTACTATCTTTTTTGTACACTTTAGTAAAGCTAAGGTTTGAGACTTTAGCGCCCAGCTCCTATTTTGCATAAATGCGACAAAACGGATAGAAAGAACAAAGTTGAAGATGGTTTTATTGTTTATTATTTATTATTACAGTTTATGCAAAGATGTTACAATAAACATTAAAAATCTGATGCTGTATCTACACATAGTTTAGTATAAATTTAACATTATAGTCTGTAAATGTTACAAATATAGTTGCATACATATAGTTTCATATAATGGCAGCACAGTGGTTAGCATTGTTGCCTCACAGCAAGAAGGTTTTGGGTTGAATCCAGGGTCTACCCCTACCTCCTTCTCCATGGCATCTGGGATAAGCTCAAGCATCCCCCGTTCCCGTGACCCTGAATTGGATAAGGAGAAGAAAATGGATTGATTTATAGTTTCATATATTGTCATAAAGCTACTAAGCCTAACTTATCGAAATAGATGTTTGTTTGCAGAAACTTTACCTTGAGTGCTCACATCAGTCTTTTAAATTGGTGAGAAGTAAATTAAAAGTAAATTATAGATATCATTTAAAAGACTACTGAGTATGGTTTATGATTTAAAAAAAAACAATACACACATATTTTGGGCAAATATTACAATTGCATACAAAAAGAAATTTCACAGATGTTTAAATGTGCTGATATCTGATATCCAGAACTTTGTTTCCTCTCTTAACAGACATGCTCAGCTAACTACACCTTCATCCCGTACATGGTGACACCTCAGAATAAGGTGTACTGCTGTGAGGGCAGCCTGATGAAGGGCCTGACCGAGCTGATGCAGCCCAGCTTCGAGATGCTGCTGGGTCCCATCTGCATGCCTCTGCTGGACCGCTTCATCCAGCTCCTCAAAGTGTCGCAAGCCAACTCCCAGTAAGTATATTTTGCTTATTTATATCCGCTTTATATCTGACAGCTGTAATAGAAATATAAACTGTATTAAGTGAAATTAAACTTCCTATTGAGGCAATCCAGAAATTTCAACAATAATAGCGTACAAGCGGGGATGCTAAACAATAGAAACACCCGGGTTATGAGGTCAGTAATGCTCTACAAAGGACTAATGATAAAAGCTAGATTTTCCTGCACAGCAAACACAGAAACACTGTGATAGCTGTGTTAGGCCTAGTTAAGACATTGCTTATGACCTAAAAATGCAGCTTCTGAAAGTACTGCACTGGTGCCGACTGGGACAAGTTTGCTACTCCTTTGGTGCAAACTCAGGTGCAAACAAGCGTGCAATAGCCGATTTGTTTGCACCTGAGTTTGCAAAATCGACTGCCTGTCATTTTGAAATATTGTTGGGGGGTTTTTGTGTGTCAGTGCATGACTGTGGTGCAGCAGTGGTGTGGTAGGGGGCAATAACCTGTTTTGTTTTGTTTTTTTCATTATTTATGAGCCGTAAAAACGAGCAACACAAAGATAAAACTCTTGTTCCAGAAAGGTTGCACCAGCCATGGTGGATTCTCATAAAATATATGTCCAAAAATATAACATGACATAAAATAGTATCAGTACTTTTACAAAGATTTGACACTCGTTTTGACTTTTGAACAGACTCTTTGGTCCATAGTTTTCTATGCATGCTTGCTTTAACCCTTAACGAATGAGTCTGTTTTCCATGGAATATAAATCTTCTGCTACATGTCCAGCCGCTGAGCTGTCCTTGGAGGATTACGTTTTAGCCAGTTTCTTGTTATGACCTTTTTACATGCACTGGTCAAAACTTTGAACACATATATTCCCTCGCTTCGTATCATGCCACTGGGCATTTATACAGATTTTATTATGCTGAAATGGGTAACATATACTATATTAATTTACATATTTGGCACCGTCGGTTCTTCATGAAAAGATTCTCGATGTCTCTTCCAGGTCTCTCAACTACACCACATTTATGCAGTATAAACAATAATTACATCATTAAAACAACTTTTAGAGGAAAATGCAGGTGAAATTAATCTATAGTTTGCAAATTGGACAGTAGTTTAATCTAAGATTAACAACAAGAGCTTTGCTAGAAGTGACATTAACAGCATGCTGTGTGGAATAACAATCTGAAGTTAGCTGTTAGGACTGTGCCCACTATCATGTTTCATCAGAGTGTGCACAGTTTTTCAGCTAGGCTAAATGCAATACAGTAAATATAGTTTCTGCTTTAGCTTTAGCTATTTCTGTATTTACTTTGCTTCCTGTAACAATTTTCCTTTTTGTTTTTGTAAAAATTCAAAGTTTCTGTTTTGTAAACTCTACACATTGAAACAGAAGAGATTTGAACCTTAATGCATTTTGGCTTTGCTGAGACAAATAGTGTTAGTGAACGTATTGAGAGCTTTATATTTAGGTTGTCTAGTGTTACTAATGAAGGACATACTGACAGTACAGCAATGGGTTTGAGAAAAAGGAAGCAAAAGAGAAAGAAAATCTATTTAAAGCTCCTGACAAGATGATCCTCTGAAAGCACTGTAAGATCACTATTGCTTATCACAGAGTCATAATATGCATGGGAAATGCCCACAATATGACTCTGTGATATGTTTTCATAAAGGTAAGCAGTGCCCAAATGATTGCTTCATTACATAAATTACATTATACTGCATGCAACTTAAGGTGAACGTTCACAAATAGGAAGGAGCTGTTGTAGCATTACCATTTTTAGCATTTTAACATTATGTTTATATTTGAGCAGCTCTGTTAGAAGTTTTTCAGCACACCAGGCATTTATTTTATTATCCCACTCATCCTATTTTTACTTGTTCTAATTGTTTTTTTGCGTGGATCCTTCAGCCTTACTTACATGGTAATTTACATTTTGAAACCAGAGAAGAAGAAAAAACCCACATTTGTTTGGCTCAGTTGCTGGGGTAATATTTTAGGCTTTCTTGCCAATAGGCGATACAGCAGCCAGTCATTTCTAGTCCATCTCCAGGAATAGTGACTCAGGTTTTACAGGCAGAAAAGAAAATCATGTAGACTGATGAAGGCTGTGTCTCCTGGAGATAGGCATAAAGGAAAGTATGAAGATCCTACAGTTGTAATTCAGTGTTTGCACTATATTGTTTTTGGTGTATATTGAAGTCGAGACCATGTTTTGAAGTCTCAAGAAGACAGATAAGCTTACTGAATTACAAGAGCCGTCTCACATGAAGCAAATATATGTATTTATGTCTTTAAAATTGCTCCTTCCAGCAAGGACACACCCAACTGATCATCTGCAGCAGATCATAATATGCGAATACATGATTTGTTATTCATATTTTATGAAAAACAACCTAAACAGGAAAATATTAGCCGGACTGTTCATATTAAACACATTTACTATTTAATAACAGAGCTTGTATTGGGTTATTATTTATGCTTTAATCACTCCCTGCAAGCAGGGTTGACCCCCAGGATTGGCTCGGGGTTATGGCAGCAAATCCTCGTCACTGCATGGGTCTTTTCAAAATTGTGTATAAGGCTTAATTATGTGAATAGAGAGTGTAGACTGTGTCATTATTTGGCATTTAGGTCTTAATATTATCATTTTAAGCTAGAGTACACTACGTTCAGCATACAAGAGGCTGGGGAGTGACAATAATCTGCATCAGTCTTTTGAGTTTTAATGCCAGTACACATGGTTTTTCCACAATCAAAATGAGACGATTATGAGAAGGTTATCCTTTGCAAACTGCTGATTAAACAGCCAAAGAAATTCAGCATTAAAAAAGACACAATTTGCAACTGGAAAATACTAATTAACTGAATTTAGATGGTCCAAATTCACAGGATTTCTGAAGGTTTTCAGTTTTGCGGTTTTAAAGGTGAAAATCTAAAAGATCCTACAGACAGGCTTTTGCTAACCCATATGGAAAAGGTAAATATAAATCTTATAAAGTTTGTATCTGTCTTGTGTGAAACTTGTATGAAAAGCATACAAGAGTGAAAACAGATATAAGATCCTTTGAAAAATTCTATAAATGAAACTTGTATGTTTTGGATACTTATTAAAACAATATATGAAAGTAATGAGAAAGTGGCCACTTTCATGAGTAAATCATTTAAGCCTTATATGATTCACTATATGAAGTAGGCCACATCTTATGCAAGTCTTGCATACGTTTTTACTATTTCGTTTCCATATGGGAAGCACCTGAACCGCCTCACGTATTTTAATATTCTTTTGCTCATCCCTTTGTGTTTTTTCAAGAACAACTAAGAGCTTAAGAATATGGTTTCTGGTAGTAATTCTGCTTTAAGCTAATTAACTGTCTTAATTGTCTGCTCTGCTTTTAAATCCATCAAACTAATATCTGAAGTTATCAGGTTTATTGGTCCCTTCATCTGTCAGTGAATAATTTATGACTTATATGAGATGAAAATAGCTCGTGTCTCACTGGGGAATGATCTGAAATTATGCAAAACAGTGTGAGAATGCAGGGAAAGAAGTAAGTCCAATTGTGTTAGAGTTGAAGGAGCAGATCCTAAAGTATGCAAAACATTTTTTTGCTAAATTTTTGTATTGCTATTTGGCGATCATATACATGCAAGCCAATCTTCTCCTTCTATAAACGCATGTTTGTTTGTATTCGTGTCTTCCAGCCAGTATTTCCGTGAGACGATTCTGAATGAGATCCGTAGAGCCCGGGAGCTTTACACTGGCTTGGAACTGGCTGCAGAGCTGAGCCGAATCCAGCAGCGGCTGGACAACGTGGAGTGCCTTTCAGTTGATGTCGTCATCAATTTGCTGCTTACGTACAGGGACATCCAGGTACATCTGTCGGGTGTGGACTTTCTGAACACCAACATATTGCTGTCATTTGTCAAATTATGTGTATTGCCTTTGGGTATTTCAACCAGAGGGGCTGTGGTTCAGTGGTCCTTGTTTATCATGTACTGGGTCTTGGTGCACCCCCCCTCCCTTTTTGTTCCATGTCTGAAATGAGTTATTTCAGCTTCTCCTCCTTTAGGCCACTTTTATTCTCATTGGCTGCCCCTCATAAACACACAGTGCAAGCCAAAGCTGTGTGCCTGAGATAAGGACATCAGTTATCTTTAATCTGAACATCCATCTGTGCTACAACATCAAAAATCATAAAAAAAAAATATATTCATGATAGGCCGATTTTGATAAGGCAGCAGTCTTAAAAATAAACTTTGGCTATGTATTTGTTTAGTTTCAGTTAAATGATTTATTATTCTATGTAACAATCTCAAAAATACTGAAAAATACCCGTCACATTTCCTGGACAGGTTCCTAGGAAAGCTGATGTCTTGTTTTCTTTGGAACAAACATTCAAAAGTACAAAACGTTCAGTTCAGCCAGAACCAGTATAGTCACGAGAAGATTGTTATTTTCAATTTGCCGTAATCTTTGCTGGCATGGCTCTGTTTTGGGACTTCCCTTCATCGTGCATACTTGGAATGCAAAGGGCAGGGAGAGCAACAGCAAGACTTCCAGCACACAGCAGAGCAGAGCAGGTGTCAGTGACAACAATCCCTAACACTGATTAGGCAGGAAACAGCATGAAATGAGAGGCTGTGGTGGAGATGGCTCACACTGCTGCTTGTCGAAACTGTAACTGTGGGCGGGCTAAACAGCTTAAATGGCTTAAATGGCACGCCCTATATGAGATTAGAGAATTACATATTGAGAAACATACAGCTGAACCATCAGCTGATTTTCCTTGGCAGCGTCTAAGCATGACCTCATGGCAGTGAATACTAAGCTAGATTTTTCAACTACAATAAACTAGAAAAAATGAGCAAATGCCCACAGATAACAATTAACTTCAATTGACTTTTTAATGTATTGATTTATTAATTGCTACTACATTTTCTGATAACCAATTTCCTAAAATTTGTGATTGTAATTATGTTATAAAATTACCAAAAATGGGAACAAATAGTTACTATTTAATACTAACAAAACAAAAACTCAACGTGGTAATTTCACCACGCCTTTACTTTGAAAAGGGCATGCCAAAAAGTTTCTCCATAAACGTTCAGGCATTTAGCTAATCACCCACAACCTTATCAAGTTTAAACCAGCTGTCAACTCCGATGCACTGAATGTGCGTGCTGATGTCCCTGACCTTGAAAAAGAAACTACTGTACACATCTGCTGTACAATTTTAAGCAAGGTTACTGAATCAGCTTCAATCTATCTCCACCATCCCTTTACCAGAGCCACTTTCTCAAACAGGGGCCATTTGCAGACTGCCTGTAGAGTGCTCTAGGCGAAGCGTTTGGTCTGTTCGTCTTAAACGCTCTGCTCTTTCTCCTCTTTAGTCTCCGCATTGCCATGGCTTTCTCTGTCCAGATCGTCCCACTCACCATAGGCAGTGCACAGTCTAATGAATCATTAATTAGAACAATAAGCATTGAGGATGTGCTGAATTATTCAAAGTGCTTTGGCTTTGGTGACTACAAGAAACAAAAATGTGATGAAGAGGCAGCTCAATTATTGAAGTGCTTTTTGTGATACACAGACAGTTGAGTCTCAGAAATAATAAATAAAAGGACATCAGAAACTCTCCCTTGAGGATCAAAGCAGCAAGTAAATACACTGATGAGTCAGAGAGTGTGTGTTTGGAGGGCACTGGAACCGAGGTACATGGGCACTAGTCCCACAGTGCTCAGCAGTGACCGGTGGTGTTCCTACAAGATCGTATTTAACTTGCTCCTTACACTGACTTTGGTGCACTTAATGTTATCTTCTGTGACTTCTGAAAACCTTTCTGCCAGGTAGCGCTGAAGGCAAATGTCTTCCTCCTTTCTTTTTCTTTTCCTTAACTTGCAAAGCTGTGACATCACAAGAGTGTCATTGATGTCAGATACACCAGTGACAGGAGGAACAGCTCAATAGCCGATCTTTTCTTACCTTCTAGGATTATGAGTCCATCGTGAAGCTGGTAGAGACTCTGGAGAAGCTTCCGACCTTTGACCCCATGGCTCATCCACATGTGAAGTTCCACTACGCGTTTGCTCTGAATCGGTAAGGCAACAAGCATACGTGTCATAGAGATCCACAGTGTAAACCTGTACCACCAACCTGCATAGGATAGAATAGAATAGAATTCAATTTTATTGTCATTACACATGTCACAGGTACAAGGCAATGAAATGCAGTTTGCATCCATCCAGAAGTGCTTTAGCCATGATATAGATATATTACAAATATATATTAGCAATAATATAGAAATGTAAGTATATTACAGAAATGGGTCTATTATGGTATGTTGTAATGTACACGGTATGAAGTATGTTATGAATATGCTATAACTATAAGTATGTACAGACTATGAACAGGATATAAATATGAAATAAAAAACTATACAGAAATATGAGATATGCAGGTTATAAACAGTTGTTGAATTAAAATTTATTGTATTGTACAGAATGATTATTTACACAGAATTATAAAGTAGTGCAGTTAAGATAAGTGAGATATGTGGATAATTTCTACAGAGGCTATATAAAGTGTTAGTGGTTGTGAGTGGTGGTTCAGTCCATGTTATTATTGTGTGTATGAGGGTACAGTTGTCCATTTGTGTGTGTAGGTGGTTGTGGGTGTGTGTAGGTGTGTTCAGTCCATGTGTTTAAGTGAGGTCAGATGTCAGGAGGCAGAGTTCAGGAGTCTGACAGCTGTGGGGAAGAAGCTGTTCCGGTACCTGGTGGTCTTAGTCCGGAGGCTCCTGTAGCGCCTCCCAGAGGGCAGGAGGGTGAAGAGTCCATGTGATGGGTGACTGGGGTCTTTGATGATTTTCCCAGCCCTTTTCAGACACCGCTTCCTGTAGATGTCTTTTATGGCAGGAAGTGGTGCTCCGGCGATGCGCTGGGCAGTTTTCACGACCCTCTGCAACGCCTTCCGGTCCGAGGCAGAGCAGTTCCCGTACCAGACTGTTATACAGTTGGTCAGGATGCTCTCGATGGTGCAGCGATAGAAGTTCACCAGGATGTCTGAGGACAGGTGGTTCTTCCTCAGAGTCCTCAAGAAGAAGAGGCGCTGGTGAGCCTTCTTGACCAGCTTGGAGCAGTTGGTCGTCCAGATGAGATCCTCGGAGATGTGGACTCCCAGGAACTTGAAGCTGCTCACACGCTCCACAGCCGTCCCCTTAATGTGGATGGGTGGATGTGGGTCAGCATTCCTCCTGTAGTCCACGATGAGCTCCTTGGTCTTCTCGGTGTTAAGCAGCAGGTTGTTTCTGTCGCACCACTCAGCCAGACGATCCACCTCCTCCCTGTAGGCGCCTCATCGTTGTCCGTTGATGAGGCCAATCACCGTGGTGTTGTTGTTGTTGTCCAGGTGTGAGAGGACAGAGTGCAGTGCGATGGAGACTGCATCCTCTGTGCTCCTGTTCTGGCAGGTATGCGAATCGGTGGGGGTCCAGGGTGGGGGGGAGACAGGATTTGAAGTGTGCTAGGACCAGCTGCTCTAAGCTCTAAGGAGGTGGATTTGAAGCAGGCCGGTACCACAGCGTGGGCCAAGGACAGGTTGAATATGTCTGTCAGCACTCCTGCAAGCTCCCCAGAACACGCTCTGAGAACACGCCCGGGGATGCCATCAGGACCTGCAGCCTTGTGGACATTGATCCTGCTCAGCACCGCTCCTACATCGGTGGGGGAGAGAGTCAGAGGTTGGTGGTCTGGCGTCATGTCTGCTTTGGTTGTGGTTGTGGGGTTCCCTCGCTCAAAACGAGCATAAAAGTTGTTGAGCTCGTTGAGGAAGGAGACATCAGAGGATGCGGGGAGGGTTTGGTGGTCCTGTAGTCTGTAATGGTCTGGAGTCCTTGCCACATGCGTCGGGGGTTGGAGTTGGAGAAGTGTTCTATAGCCATAGTCGCAAGGCTAAAACAGGTTTTCTGAAAGTCCACTGAGCCAAAGCTGACCCCACAGAAACCTTTCCTGCAGAAACCCTGCAGCATGCACACATTTTCAGTTTGACAGATAAAAACTTTAATGAAAAATGTTACAGTAGGAGCTTTTTAGTGTGTGTTTTTGTTTTTTGCAACCCTTGACATTTGAGTAATGTGTCTTCTCCACAGTGTCGCTGGTATTGTGTTCACCTTTTAAATCTGTCACTGTGGGGAAAAGTAGTCCTGGGGACACTTACCGTAGCAGGAGCTAACACTGTATATTCAGCATATCCCTGTTTTCTGTACTCGTGTTGCTATGTTTGCCTGTTCTGTTGGATATAAACCTTAAAAGCTTTTCTGCCTGTCATCCCTCTCGCTCACTGCATCACATAATTTGACAGTTTGATAGGGTCACAACTGTGTAAGATATGGACATGAAACTTTCGTTACGCAGTTCACATGAGAATGATGGTCAGGCTCCAACAGACTGTGGTGTGACCCACGAGTACTGAATAAGGGACATCAAATAGAGGGAAGGCGCTGGCCTTTATATATTTCAAGTTATTTATCAGTCTTTGACTTTCTCCCACCTCATGAAATCTTTGGTGAGATGCTTCACACAGATGTTGTCATAGAGATGGGCAATTTTGCCACGCTGAAAGGCTTTCATTTAAATTACATAAAACTAGATGCTTTATTGATGCATGAAGAGTAAACTAAGATATCACTAAGTTATCAGAATGTGAAACTAAAGAATATTTAACCATATCAAAAAGATTTTGTTAAATTTTGAAGAGAAGCGATGACATGCAATTAAACACACCTGCTTTTTCTTTAAGTACCTTTCACAAAACACACCCAGGTTTCCTGGAATAAAAACTTCTAAACACAGTGAAACAAATGCACTCTTTTCCTTTGTCCTAGTTTTTTCTCTAAGTATCATAAGGGCTGCCACAGAGTATTTTTCACGGTGTTCAGGGTTTTCTTTAAATATATTCTAGCGGTTTCATTTATCTTGCGTTAGCAGAGCAGTATTGAAATCCTAAATGTATGTCTCTAAGCAGCTGTGACATTATCGGTGCGCGTCTAGCTACAGTACTCGTCTCAGGAAGAGACAGATGTACAAAACAGGAGGTTTTGGCTGCTTGTTTCTCACCAGCTGCTTTTCTTGTAAACTTCCTGCGGTTTTCATGGTGTGACTGCCTCAAAGAGCAATAAAGCATGCTGTTCTTTAATTTGGCAGCAAATGGAAAATGTTTCTGTAGGGTGCCAAGATGCCCGTGTGTTCGCTGTTAGTAGCTGCTCCATTCCCACTATATGATATTGCATTTGCGAGCTCGAGGCGGCATACCGAGACATTTTGTCAGACCAATTCACTGAATGAGCGGTAATGATGGAAAACTCTGTGTCTTTGGTGAGGTTGAGTTGTATCCTCCAGTGTTAGAGCAGGTCGACATGAGCAGAGGGTAGGAGGGCATTTATGTCAGTTCACCTATTCAGCAAGTAAACCATTGCATAAATACAATAGCTGTTCCAGGAGATTGTTATGCCACAGGTGGTGTAACTGTGTTGTTGTCTGATTTGTTCTTGTTAGTGGGAGGGAGAAATAGATTTTGAGTGCACTAAAGGTGGTAAATAGGTCATATCTTCTTTTTGAGACTTTTGGAGCCAGTAATTATATTTTTAACTTTACTGTACTTTATTTTACTGTATGCATTTAGTAGCAACTTTAAAGACAAATAAATAGAAAAAAACGAATAAATTACCATGTATTATTATAAAACTGACCTGCCAAACAGTATAAAAAGCACCACATATCCCCACATACAAGCTGCAACATGCAGCTTGTATGTTTATGCAATTGGAATCCAATGATATGATACGCATTATTTTAAAATGCACCAAGTTGCATAATGAGTATTTTTAATTTGGATACTTTAATATTCAAATTACATTTTTTTTCTTTTGGGGGGGGGGGACCACTGAATAACTGCTAATAAAGTAATATCAAATGTGGTAATGACATAGGGATTCTGCTACACAGCTCACAGGTAAAATATAGGTAAGATACACTGTAAAAGAAAATACAAATATACCCAAAAAAGCAAAAAACAACAGGGACTCTAAATTCAAACAGGGAGGCAGGGAAAATGAGGGAAAGATTCACAAATACCATGACTAAAAAAAAGGACAGGACTATTTATACACATCAGAGAAACAGAAACAGCAGAGTGGACAAGACACAGGTGTAGACAGTCATGACGACGAGATGGGGGAGGAAATGAAATTCACCTAACTATCAAAGTAAAACCAGGAATGACAAGAGAACCCAACTGAACACAGAGATGCAAAAACCTGCACAAAAACATAGTAGAGAAGGGACTCAACGGTGGCGAGAACACTAAGCCCGAAACAAAAACACAAATATTAAACTGTTGATTACAAGTAAGGGAAAACATGGAGGAAATTGCACACAAATACAAACTCCATAAAAACAAAACTAGAACTTTAATACAAGAACTAAAGCATCTGGAAACTAGAAAGCAGGAATCAGAATCATCCTAACTGTTGTGTAATTATTGTTCTCACGATACCAAAAACTAAAACTAACACTAAAAATTCATAAAAACAAAACTAAAACTAAACATAAAAACACAAACACAGCATATCACAAATCTGGAAGCACACACATGCATATTCTGTTTCATTGGTATCCCCTGTAAGATTTCTGGGAATAATTTTACACACCATAAAGGCTAGGCGTGATTTTTGCACCGTTGTGCTGAAGTGCCAAATATTTGATTTGCATGATCAGACAAAAGCAGATCTCTCCGTTTTAGAATTTATGTTTTCCACACAATCGTTAGCACTCATCCCTGAAGCCTCTGTGCATTTGAGCATGCCCATAGATGTTCTAGCTATTGCCTCTATTGCTAAAGAGAACACTAGCAGCTCTATGTTATGTATTTATAATCACGCAGAAGTAGAATTATATCCTTGGAAATGCAATCTCTTCTTTTAAGCCTGTTTCAAAGCTTTTATTCAAATTACTCATAAACTGCCTTCCGATAATAGTTTGTAGAAGGTGGCACCATAGAATAGTAAAGTCAAATAATCTAATCTGTTCTGAGTGTGAAACTGAATGAATTCCTTCACTGAGATGCAGTCGTATAAATCATTACCTTCAATGAGCTCTGAGTAAGCAGCATGCAGCCCACACCATGCCTTGAGATTATTAATATTTAGCCTTAATAGGCACTTAATCATTGATCTAAAGTAGGTGCTCTGCTTCTAAATGAATCTGGTGGGTTGAAGGGGCTTCCGCCTCAGGCATGTGAGTCTTCAGCTCTGCTTCGAGGCCTGTTGTGCAGGTCTTACTGCTAAGAGCCTGATGAGATCGAGGAAAAAAATCCCCATTTCCAAATATCCATCAGCACTCTGAAGAAAAGAAAGAGGGAAGCGGAGAGATGCATTCGAAGAGCAGATCTTGTTTCCCTCGTTGCTCTTCCCTCTGGGCAGTCTCCATGGTAATAGCTGTCAGCTCATATGTTTTATTTAACCTTCACGCCCTGGAGAGAAGCCACGTTATGTTAATAAGGAGGGTTTTTTCATGGCTGTCACACATTTTGTCTGTGTGAAACTCTGCAGGATATCACCTCTCATTTCTTCTCCCAAGTCTGTGTTTTGGACACAATCTGTTATCTTATCCGATTAATAAATACTGTTTGTCCTATCCATACTTTAGCTGTTATTTACATAAAATAAAATGTGTGCAACACCAATTGTGATCTCAAAATGTTGTTTTTTATAGACACTCCAAACAATTTACTGACCTGAGGACAGCAGCATTTATCTCCTTCTTTCAAAACTGTGCAAAAGCTTTGCTAAAAAAGAAATCTCTTTTTTGATTTCACAATACTAAAGCAAAGGTTGGTCTAGGTGCAAGGGGGGTGCCTTGGGAAATCAGAAAAATTCAATCAGAAATAAATAAACCAACTGGGGATAGATCTCTGGGGATAGGCCACAATATGGTTTCACACTGACACACTGAAATCAGTAAATTACGTTACATGTGTGAAACGGTGTATCACTTTGTCTTTTGTTTGAATATCACATTAAAAAGTAAAGTAAAAACACTGCGAGGAAAGCTATACATTTTTAAACTCATTGTATTGTTTAGCATTCATAATTAGAAGGTTTTACATTTTCTGTGATGCATTCAGGAGGACAGGCCACCGCTCCTCCCACCTTCAGTCAAGCACCTAACCACAAGCTTCCTGGTCTCTATTTGTGATCCAACTTCTGTTGACCAATCGTGTTTGAACAGGCTTTATTTCCCTGCAGTTAAACAGTCTGTGTGAAAGGGGGGGGGAAAACATAATAAGGAATGCATTTGCAGAGAGAAGTCGTATGGAAACCATTATGTGATCACAGTTCAGTATTTTATTTAATTTATGTTTGCTTTTTTAAAATGTATTTAATTGCTTCTTTTAAAGTGGCTTCACAGTGTAATGGTGTAAAAGTTCAACTAATATGCAAAAACTCCCTGGTTTCAGACCAGGAGTGGACACAAATCCTGAGAGGCACGCCTCAGAAAATCATCCATCAAGCCAGAGTCGTAGAATTAATGGAATGACTTACTCCAGGGCTCTAGTTTAAGCTAGCTTTGCTTTAACGACAAAAAATTTCGCACGACAGTATTATTTACCCATCTAGATTGAAATTACATGTAGCTGTACATACTTTGATGGCTTTCATCCTGGCAGCAGTTTAGGATGAGTCACTCTCTACAAGACTGATGTAGATGTCACTGAATTGGAGCTCTGTCGCCACTTTCAGGGATTTAAATAAAGGCAGAATATGAACCACAAGTCCCCAAAATTCAGATTTATCTTTGAATCTTCGTTTTTCCCTCCACGGATAGATGATCCAAATAGTCTTGGCCTGAGACAAGTAAAAAAAAACAACACTTTTGTCCTGCAATACTGTCATTCTTTCCGGTCATAGTGGATTAATGTTTGCCTGTCAGGGAAGTGATTCAGTCACGTGACTGAAAACTATGGTTTGCAGTTCTTTACATTAAAAGAAACGACACTGTACCAGGTGTTCTTCTAGTAAATGACGAAGATGAATCTGGCGACCTTCTTCCATTGCTCTGTAGTCTAGGTCTGATGCTCACGTTGCCATTTTTGGTGCTTTCGGTGGTGGACGGCAGTCAACGCGGGTCCCGTGACTGATCTGCCGCTTTGCAGCCTTATACACAGCAAACTGAAATGCCCTGTGTATTCGGACAGCTTTCTGTCAGAATCAGCTTTAAATTCGCTCAAATGCTTACGCTTAGCCATTTTTTTCTGCCTCTAACACATCAGTTCTGCAGACAAAATGTTCACTTCCTTCCTAATGTATCCCACCCACTAACATGTGCATTGATGAAGAGATAATCAGCGTTATTAACGTACCTGTCAGTGGTCATAATATTATGTCTGGTAACTAAAGTAAGTTTGACATTAGTGGTTTAAATGTCGGTTTAGAAAAAGATAATGGATTTGAAAACTCAACATGTACCATGTACCAGCTGTTTCCCATAGAAACAGTTGGTATATTAAACATAATTCATGTAGCTAATAAATCAAGACAACTGAGATGACAGTCAGATTTATAATTCAGTCTATCTTCCTATTTGCATTCCTGTTACTATGAAGCAGCGGCGTTAAACATGTCTTCTGTTGACACCCGGTGAAAAAGTTAACATCCATGTAATGTAAGCAGTTACCACCTGAAGAGGTTATCGCTCGTTCTTTAATACCATAATAGATTCCTTCTTCTCTCTTTGTTATTTTCCAGTTCGACTGCTCGTTAGAGAGTCTCAAATTATTTCCTCGCAGGTCAGTTATAACTGATCATTTAGTCCCTCATTGAACACCTGTGGTGCAATTGGAACTTCACAGTGCTAAATAAAATTGGGCATTCTCTTAATGAACCCAGTCACCTCTGTAATTTAAGGTCCTGGTGGCGTCCTCTGTGCCTGGTATTAGTGTCCAATAACAATACCTCTGCAGCTGTTCCCTAGCTACTCACACGCAAAACACACATATTTATCTGCTCCACACACCTACACCGCATGCACATGCATGCTGCTGGTGATGCTCATTTTAATGCAATCTGTTCAAACCAGTTATTTATTTATACACCTGAGAATATACATGGTCATTTGGCCATTTCTTTGAGTCTCATTAGCTTTTAAGTATGCAGTAAAACTATAAGTCATTATTCATGTTCTAGAAATTGCATTTTAAATGCCATCATGTACCATTTTAATGTTTACCCTTTAGGCTTTGAAAATACATTAACTCTTGGTGTGATTATGTAAGACAGTTGTTCAACAATAGTGATTCAAAGGGGAGCGTACAGTACAAGTTAAATACAGGTCTGTAATGGATTTAATGCATATATGAGATGTGATATGCATAGAAATAATCTCATCTTTGTAGCTCACGTCTGCTTGAAGCAAGGAAAAAGTAGCACAGCCTGCCGGTCTAAAGAGTTAAGCATGGGCAAAATTGCATTCTTTGTAATGCCCAGTAGGGGGTAACACCTCTGGTTGTAAATTGAAAACAGTCTATAAGAAAATGATCCTGTTTCTCACTTGTTTTGTGACCTCAATGACCACAGTTTATGATCTCATCTGCTGCTTTTAAGTTTGCTCCAACACAGCACAACATTTATTTTGTTCGTTATTTTTTCCATTTGGAGTAAAATAAATATTAAATCAGGGTGTCTACCACATGCCTGATAAGTCAAATCTCCCTGGAACTGTAGCACGGCTGACCTGGATTGTGTGTAAAGCATGATACAAAAAATATTAACATTTATAAATGCAAAAATATGAAATATATTTTAACTAGCTGCATCAGTTCTGATTGTCTGGTTGCAGAAAGTCTGGTTGCAGTGGAGAATGTAATTTTCTATTACTGTCTGTGAGATGCAAAGGTGCTTTCAGGCTAAATGAGCAAATATAATCTCTCCAGAAACTTCTGGGTGTGATTGCAAATGGGTGTGCCCATAAAACCTTCAAGTGGAGGTGTACAGGAGCCACCCTTACCAGATACCATTGAGCCTAGACACCTTGCTGACGAAAAGAAGTACTTTCCCTTTCGGGCTTTGACCACAAGCAGAATTTAAACAAAAGGAAGATACATTTTCACTCAGAACAAGTAATTAACTTCTGAGTGTTTTGAAAGTTTGGTAAGGGACTGGGATAAGGAGCTTACTGATATAGTGAATTTATGGATACTGGTATAAAAGTCCCCTTTAAGATTAATAAGTGTTAATAATCACAAACCTAAATCCACTGATATCTCTAGATATGCTCAAAGCTGTTTTGGTGGGTTAGTTATTAACTTGTTACATGCTTTTTTGTGTTTTTTCCTGTGTGTGGTTATAGAAGGAACCTTCCAGGCGACAGGCAGAAAGCCCTGGACATCATGCTGCCCCTGGTGGAAGGCGAGGAGCAGGTAGCGAGTGACATGTACTGCCTGGTGGGACGTATCTATAAGGACACGTTCCTGGAGTCAGACTTTACCAACACACAGAGCAGAGACAACGGCGCACTCTGGTAAGAGAGCAGGCAGGATGTCAGTGTGCATGTGACATTTCTGCTAAGCCAAACACATTCTGAGTCACCAAAAATTACCATTTCTAAGGGCAGGGTGCATGGGAAGTACAGTGACTCACTAGATCACACCATTAAGAGTTTATCATGAATGGTGTCAGTCAATGCAGGATTTCATAATGGCTCTCAGCATGAAGGTAAAACCCTTTGCTGGTAATGAGTCTGTGAATAAACCACAGCCATGTAGTGTGCAAAATTCTTTGAGGTTGCACAACGACACCTCATAGCAACATAAGAACAATACCATTAAAATCCAGACTACAGGGATCATGGATAACATACCAAGATGACTAAAATGTAAAATTAGCAAACATTAGCAGTGACAATAGTTTGAGCTGCTAAATGTTTTGTGCATGTTAAGCTGAGCTGCCTGGTTTCTGCTGCTGGTAGCAACAGGAAGTGGTGAGCTAGCATTTATTTAAGAAAAAAAACCCATTGTGAATATAAATATTAGTACAGGTTAAGATTAATGGCATCATGATTCAGGAAAGTGTCCTAGTTGTCTAATATCTCTGTAGAACCACAAACCCTTGCTATTTGAAGACTCTGCATCACTTCCACACTGCCTAGTGTGACCAAAAATAGCTGAAACTTTTCAGTTCAATAAAGTTAAACTGGTTTGGGTAACATCAGACTGTTGTAGCTTCATATTAGAACAATAAAATCAGAAATAAAAGACATTAAGTTCAGCAGCATTGGCACAAAAACTGCTGCCACGCTGAATCTTTCTTGTGTCTCGTCTTTTATCCTTGGGAAACCACTTTAGGGATGATTTGCCATCTCTCAAGAAGTCTCATATTTTTAAACTGTGTTTCAATAAGTCAAGTATAATATAGTCTTGTATGTCTTATATTAATCCTAACTAGAAGCAGTATTTGTTTGAGTGAATTTTAGTGACAATTTATACTTGGCTAGTTTCCCCTTCATGGCTGTCTTCATTTTTACATCTGGACAACTTTGATTGTAGCTGCTGTTCAAAAGTTTCTCCGTACAATTTTTATCCTGGATTTCAAATATCAGGCTGACCTGATTTTAATAGCGAGGATCCATTATGGTCCAGTTAGCAGCTGTCATCAGTGTAAGGCAAGTGTATGGGCAGTGCATCAGGTCAGAGGATGTATGCGTACGTCTTATGAGATGTATGCACATCGTTTCTTCAAAATTCATGGCAGTCGTAAGTTTATCCTCCAGTGTCCAGCTGTCAGAGTAAACTATGGAGGCATCCAACAGTGACCTTTCAGCACTCTTCATGTTGTTGTGTGCCGTTCACTCCACACTGAGGAGGAGGTTTTGCCTCCCACCCAGCTCATCAAATTTACCCCTTGTAAAGTCGCCTTTCTCCCCAAAATGGAAACCGAGTTTCAGTATTAACACAGTGGAGGAGACCCAACGTGCATCAAAGATGGATCACAGCAAGTGGTAAGAACAGGGCTTCACTAAATGATCTGTCCATCAACCTTCATCAGGACTTCCAGGGAGAAAAGAGGAGTTAAAATCAGCTTTTTGTGGGTGGAGTCAGAAATCCTTTTGGTTGCACTTTTACATTAAAGGTTTCTGTGTCTTCTTACAGTTTGGAATCTAATAAAGAGATTAGTGTGAGTAAATTAACATTCTGGTGTTTTTGCAAGTGAAAGTTTACGTTTTCTAATTAACATTTTTTGGAGCCTGACAACTTGCAGGGACCTTTTGGATATGATAGAGTTGGATATTTGCTACCCAAAAACTAGCTAAGTCAGCTTGACACTAATGAGTAAGCACAAAGAAAGATGCATTTGCAGGGTTTCCAGTAGCTTGTTGAAACTGAACTCTCAAATTTGCCATCTCCTCATGAGCATGGCTGTGATGCGAGTGCACCGAGGCTAACGTTAGCTGACGGAAGTCGGCTTATTGAGAACACAAGGCGGCTGATTGTCTTTATCTGGAAATTGCTTTTTAAGATTTCATATCTTTGTTGACTGCTTAGATAATCAGGCTCCCATCTGGCTGTTATTTTCAATTCCGTGTCACAACTTGGCACAGGCCTCTAATAACGCTCGCACCCCTCCCCTCCGCAGAACAGATTGCTCATTAAATAAATGAAATTTCTTGTTTTGTGGGGGTACTCACAGTTGCTGTTTGATGTTCTGTGGCCCCCAACTCAATATGGCTGTAATTATTTTTTTCTATCTTGAAGTGTCTCAGAAAGCCGGGGGAGTCCTGGGAAGCCATCCATTATCTCAGGGATGCTTGGGATTTGGAATGACGCATTTCTTGGAAGAAAACTGTTTATGTGAATCATTCTTCTTCTCTTTTCAGGTTTAAAAAGGGGTTTGAGTCAGAGCCAACACTACACTCTGGTATCAACTATGCTGTTCTTCTGCTGGCAGCTGGACACCAGTTTGACACGTCGTTCGAGCTCCGCAAAGTGGGTGAGTGGACCCTTGTTACTTTGGTCTGTGTCCTAAATATGCAGCTTTTCATTTTATTACACTAAGCCTGCTGACTAACCACTGAGTAATCAAACTCTAATCAGTCCTTTGTCTGTAATTTACACAATAATTGTTATCCTAACGTGGAAATAGGGGTCAGTAAAAGCTGCACAAATAAATAACTTATATGAATGGAAATGAAAATTGCGTCACCCACAGAGAAACAGTTCCCCTCACAGCTAAAGTGCAGTTTAGCATCTTTCAGCTCATTGCGTTTGTTCTAACTTGGTGTCAAATGAACTACCTTTGCTATGGCAGGAGCTGTTTTTAATGGAAAACCTCTAATAAACTCACATATGCTTCTAACTCAACGCCAAACAACAACTGTACAAAGTCTAGAGGAACCGAGGGCAGCAAATCTTAGGAGTTAGCTGGAACCAGAACAAATGCAGAGGAAGTGAAAATTGGATTCATTTAATTCACCCAAGTGGCAAGAGACACGGCTCCAAATGAGAGATAATTTTGTTATGTGTTTGCTGAGTGTGTTAATAGTGTTTGCTAACACATTCAGCGTGTCAGCTGTTGACACAGTGGATGGTGATAATGTTTAACAGATTTTTTGACCACAAAAATGGACGTAACTCCAAAATTCACTTTCCTTTTAGCTTCATTTTAGTTCAACAAGGCAAGAGGGAGATATATGCTGCTAATTGTTCCTTACACAGCCACTAACTGTGTATGCCTGTCATTTGGTGCAGAGTAGAGTGTGCCGAGTCATTTATTAGAGGGTTTTTTTGACAGAAAGTAACTTCCTGCAGGTGAATGCTATTAGGATAAGGTTGGAATGCCAAATATGAACCAGGGGAGTAAAGTTATGGGTTGGAAAACTTTGTTAAATAAAGTTATTTTTAAGCCTTGTTATTATTATGCATATTTCAATAAAGCAAAATCAAATAATGTATAGTTGTTTCCTTTTTTAGTCAGGCAGGCGTGTAGCTGAGCTTTTGCCCACACTTTTTTTTCCCTCTGAAGTCTGAGGCTCAGAGGAACTCAGGAATCTGGGAATTAGAGTTGGCTTTTCTGGGAATTGGCCCGCAGCTCTCTAAATTAACCCAACCCTCCATCCCTTTATGCATCCCTGGGGTTATCTCATAAGATCCCCACTGTCTCTCCAAATGGCAGATTTCTGCAGCAGGCTGTGCAAAACATGTAGCTGCTGCTTATCTTAGCAGTTCTAATAAAAATAATAATATAGCTAGGCTGCTGTAGTGCGAGTTGTGGCACACCCAAGTATAGCATGGTCTTGCTTTGGCTTTCTTGTTAACTGGCATGTCTGCCTATGGTCCACATGGAAATGGAACAAAATAGAGATATTTCACCAGCATTAAATTGTTTGTCTTGTTTGCAGGAGTTAAGCTGAGTAGCCTGCTGGGTAAAAAAGGCAGCCTGGACAAGTTGCAGAGTTACTGGGATGTGGGCTTCTTCCTGGGTGCCAGCATCCTGGCCAGTGACAGCACCCTGGTCATCCAGGCTTCTGAGAAACTCTTCAAGCTTAAAGCCCCTATATGGTGAGAACACAATCCGTTCAAATTAGCATGCTAAAAAATGCATTTTAGACCACTTCCATCACCAACTGTGACTCTCTCTTTGTCATATGAAGTCTGCTCTGCTTCCCTTTGAAACTAAAGCAGCCATCTGTGGCCACTGGCAAACATTTGGTGTATTTGAAGAACAAAGAAAAAAGTCACCAAAAAAGCCACTTTGCTCATTTGAACAGTATCTCTGTCTTTACATTTTAGATTTGAAGGATATAAAAGCCTGGTGTCGTAATTTTTTGTGAATTGTCAAAAGTGTGGTACAACGTTACTCCAAAGATAAAACTGAGAACTGATATTTTTTTACACTTTTTATAGCGCATATTCGTCTTTAGGCCCCCAAGCTAGCCTGCAAGTCTAGATGTGTTTTAAAGAAAGATGCCACATGACAATATCCCGTTCACGCCATCGTAACATAATGCCTTCACGGTGGTGGAACATAGTTGTAATTGCCCGCAAGGCATGTGGTAATTTCAGACTTCACACAGATTTTATGATACTTTATGTACAACATGTGGAGGAAAATAATAAAAACGTTTCTTTTTTTTCTACAGTGCATGAAACCCAGCTGTTTTTTGTTTGTTTTAGTGCTCTGAAAACCATCACACCAAAATCAGGCTCCAGCATAGAAACGCAGTCATATCTTAATGTGTTTATTTGTTAGCAATTTTCCTTAAACAACGCTAAAGTTATCTACCAGCAAGGTATTCTCTTTTCTCTGTCTTCATATCACATGTTTTTGTAATTCTACAGTCACACTGTGGAAAACATTGGTTGGAAACTGCAGCGTGAAATTAATGCAACCCTGTCCAATGAACTTGTAATCTTGTTACCTTTAAAAATATTGCTTTGAAGACCAGGGGACCACTGTCCGAGTCAGAATGGGACTTTAAAAATGTTGATAAAACATTAATAAGATGAAGTCAGTCTAGAGGAAATTACAATACAACCATTTGGCAACCAACTTGAATCAAGTCCCCTATTACAAAGAGATGTTTCACAGACAAGTTGTGGCCGTCGGCACAGATTGACTCAGACTGAGTGCAATAAGCTGACAGTTTGTCTGCATTTATATATTAGATGGCAACTATTTGCAAAGCAGCCATAAAGACATATGCCACAGCAGTAAAGTTGTTTATTCCTGTTATCTGGTAATACCTCTGTTGCTTCCAGGTATTTGCGGTCATTGGTGGAGACCATCTTGATCTTTCAGCACTTCAACAAGCCCAGCGTAGAGCAGCCCTCCTACAAACAGGAGCTGGTGGACTTTTGGATGGACTTCCTGGTGGAGGCGACCAAAAAAGATGTCTCCTCTGTTCGATTTCCTGTAAGAAACACAGATTAACATGAAATAATACATCTGAGTTTTTGTTAAAATGTGGAAACAAAAAAAAAATGCAATGCAAGCTCAGAAAATTAAAGGTTTAAAATGTGCAATGCATATATGTCTTGTCCAGGTGTTGATTTTGGAGCCAACTAAAGTGTACCAGCCTTCATATTTGTCCATAAACAAAGACGTGGATGACAACACAGTGTCAATCTGGCACGTTGCTCCTGATGACAAGGTGCGTGTCCCACTGCAGTAAAATTATTTAAAGAATATATTCGCTGCATAATACTGAGTATAGGTTTATGTACTGTATATATGTATTTTGCTTGCTTTTAATAGGAATATGGGTAACAGAAAGAAAAAAAATCCAATTGCAACCATAGAAAAATGAAACAAAATCCTACGCTGGTGCACCTCAACAGTCTGTGCTGGTTTCATCACTCTGTTTTATGTTAGCAAACATACTGATGCTTCCACTGGTTCCTGTAAATGATGAACTACAGATAATGTCACATAAGGCGACAGATGTTAACGAAACAGGAAAGCTGAGATCGTGATCATGTCTCTTGTAGATCTGGGGAGATGCTGTGTTGTGATAATGGACTGTCGCTTCCTGTAATGAAGCTTTATGCCTCTGTCTTCTCGATTGTTTTCATATGTTATTGCTCATTATTCCCAGCTTACACGTCAATGTAAATGGTTGCTCACCAGGGAAGTCGTGCTAGTAAACGAACTAAATAAGCGCCAATGATATAATCCAGTGGACTGATTCTTATGATAATGCTCGCAATAATGTTTAGTTAACGATTTATCCTGTTGATTTGACTTGGCCTGCAGAACAAGGGGATCCATGAGTGGAACTTCAGCGCCACATCTGTACGAGGTGTCAGGTCAGTGCCTGCAGTCTCTGCAAAGCCTTGTTAAAAGTGATCGCTTAGTGGACTTTAAGCTGACTGCAAGCAGAAACTACTATGAAAAGACTAAAAGGATCATTAGAGAAAGTAACATTTGTTTCTAGTTCAAGTTTCAAGTTTTATTTGTCATATAGAGGTAACAATGTTACATCATTACAGGCTACGAAATTCTTAGGTTCAGAGCCCGCTCAATATTGCACGTAGGAAAAAAGCAAAATTACACATAAGGTGACACTAATTAAAAATAAACTATATAAATAAAGAAAATATATGTAATTTTTTTTAAAAGAGTAGGATAAATAAATACAGATTACTACAAATACTGCAGTGCCTGTAGTGCAGAGGTAATGGTATATACATGTACAGTGTATACAGTGATTACAAAGACTGGAGGTGGAAAAGGCTTCCAGCCCTCGTGTTGTTACCATGAATTTACCTGGCACTCAGCAGACTCTGGGGACTCACGACAATGTAATGAGCTCTAGGCAAGGAAGGACATTTCCTGAAATATCAAACTGCTCCTTTTAAACAAATGAACACTGAGTTCCTGCTTCCTGTGTGGCTAGAGAAAATTGCTTCATGCCATACCTCTATCTGTCTCCTGTCTCATTTCTGCTCTCAGCTGCTGCATAAATAAAAGCATTAAATGTCCAAAAGTTGTAATTATGCAAAGTGAAAAGCTTTTGAAATCAAATAGAAATGCATAAACATGTATAATAACATTGAGTTGTGTACTAAACAAGCTGATATTTCAGTGTTCAGAAATATATTTAAAACGCCCAAAAAGACACCTGAATAAACCAAAAATACTCCAATGTTAATTCGAATAAAAATGGTGTTTAAAGCCCAGTGCAACATAATAGAAGTCATAAAATTAAGAGTAAAACAAAATCATGCATTTCCGGTTTAACAAGTAGGTGTATCAAAACATACTCAAAAGCAAAAATAAGTAATAACTGCATGCAATCTGCAATTGTAAACACCAAAGCAGAGGTTTTAGGTATGCCCAGTCGCTGTGCTGTCTCTTCACCTCTTGCAGCTTCAGATGGTATCCGAGTGCTCCAGCATTACACAGACAGTTTTTATGATGTCCTTCTCTTTGCCAATTTTTTTTTCCACAGTCCTCAAAGGAATTCAGTGTCAGATCGGAGAGAAGCTGAGGGCTGTGCTCACATGTTGCTAGGGAACGACTCTTTCTCTATGCCCACTCAGCCTGCAGACAGTCAGCAGGACACAATGGCAGCCCTGCAGGCTACAATACAACCACACATGCAGGGACTCTGCTGTCTGGTTCAGCAGCTCTGGCCTTGGCATTCTTACTAAGGAATGGGCAATTGCCAATTCCACTGGATAAAAGTTTCCATTTAGTTGGTACAATTCTAGCTGTCCATCTTTTGTGCAGAAATTGAGCGTCATCTAACAGCTTATATGGCTGTTTCTGATGGTGACTTTTATAGGAAACAAACTACAACTGCTGTAGTCCATGCTCATAACATTAGATATTTATTGTATATATTAGCATGAAATACTTTTAGAGTGCAGTATCTGTGTGCACAGGCTGCATTTATGAATTTAATTTTTACATGTGGTTTTACATTTTTAAGTCATTCAGTCAGTGTTTCACAATCAGGGTACAAGTACCCTAGGGGGCTACTTCTGCGGTAGAGCAGGGGTGGTGGAGAAGATTAGCTCTACTGGTACAATTAACAGAGACATTATTGTTTTTCTTGATTAACTATTATCTATAATGTGAAATAGAATGGCATTCATCCAGTTCTGCTGGAATAAGCTAGAAACAACTATGTGGACAGCTGTTGTGTTGTTGGTGACGTTATAGTGTTAGTGTTATGTAACTCTGGGGGATAAATCTTTTTAAACTTTTTATGAGGGAAAATAGAGAACTTTTGACCACTGACATTTGTCACATTTACAGTTTTTTATGCTCTAATGATTATTTATATTTAAATCTTTAATAATTTATTTATAATTTAGTATACCACAGTATACATATCATGACGTGACCCTCTATGAGCAAGGACTTAGCAACAGTGGGAAGGAAAAATTCCTTTTACACCAGAAGAAACCTTTGGCAGAACCTTTTGGCTGACTTGTTTAAGCTGTAGCTCTCAGTTATTACTGACTGAGAGTATGCATTACATTACAACTTGAACATGTTAGCTAAAAGCGAAAATGTTTGCTAAATATAATAGTGAAAGAGCTCAGAAATAGTAGTTGGCTAATAAATAAAGAAAAAGTTATAAGTTACTGCTGACTAATAGTGTGCATTAATAATAGCTAAAATGGAAATTTCTGAAAAAACAGTAACTAGCTGAATCAATTTACTTAGCTAGCTAGCTTTGAAACCATTGGCTAATATGCATTAACAGTTCAAATTGCTAGTGTATACAGTGAAAACCATAAGCTAACCATTTTTGCTAAATTAGAGCTAGCAAAAAAAACCTGTTGGGTAAAAGTCTAAGGAGCTTGGAAAGGAAAAGCGTCTGGACTTCTTTACGTTGCTTGAAGACGTTTCACCTCTCATCCGAGAAGCTTCTTCAGTTCTAGGGTCAAATGGTGGAGAGTCCCAAATTTAAGCCCTATGGGAATGCCCCCCCAAGAGGGACAAAGGACATCCTATTGATCCTCTACCTAATCACACGAGCCAATATGTCTGTGAAAGAGGTCTTTCCAAGATCCTTAGACTACGATGACCTGGATGACTGAGAACCTTCACTGACATATTGGGTAAAAGTATTAACAGCTGAAACTGCTAAAAAAGCAAAAACAAAAGCATTAGCCAAATAGAAACCAAACAGCATTTAAATAAGGAATGTTGTCCAACAGTATAGATTAACAAATGGCTTAAAGAAACAAAAGAAAATGTTAAATATTGTTGAAAAATGGGTAAAAATAGCAACATGACGTGAATAAATAGTTGAAATAGTTACTTAATAGTTGGTATCATTTGAGAATTTTGTGGAATATTACAAAAGAAACAGTTTGTAGCTATAGCTTCATTCAATGTAAAGCTCACATCTATTCTAATGTTATTGTGGGCTGTTTCTAACTGAGGACAAACTGTGGACCATTTCTCCTCAGCATCTCCAAGTTTGATGAACGCAGTGCCTTTCTCTACGTCCTTCATAATGCAGAAGACTTCCAGATCTACTTCTGCACAGAGATGCATTGTAAAAGGTTGGTCTGTGTGTTCTCTCTTACAGATGCAATTCCAGATCTTTAGCTATTTACCATAATAAATCATGTCATAATGTGACTGCATTAATTTAATTTTCAGTTCAGTTCAATTCAGTTTTATTTATATAGCACCAAATCACAACAACACTTGGCTCAAGGCACTTTAATGTTAATTTAAACTTAATTTAAATGGCCTATCCTATTTCTCTTTCTTTTTTCGTACAGAATTACATTATTGAAATATTCATGTTTAATGAGCCATCCATTGAAATATCAGATAGTGAACAGCCTGAAATGTCTTAACCATACGTGTAATTTAACATCTCTCTGTTCTCCACATTCAGTCAGTCTGCTATCATTACAAAGAAACGCTGCTGTCATGAATCAAAGTAAAGGGTCGGCACAGCTTCACACCTTTCTTCATTGTAATGACTTCATAAGTAGCGGCTGTAAAAGTGATAATGCACGTGTGGCTCAGATGAATTGATCAATTAAGACCACCACTCTCATAATTGTACCTTAATAACTTAATAACTTAACACTAATGCCCTCCTTCTTTTATTGAGCCAGTTGTAAACCCTTTACAAAATGATGTTTTATTAATTAGCGGGACCCACATTACATTACCTTACATACAAAACGATTGTGGAGAGGAGCAGTCGGGGTTGAATCCTTATACCTATTACAATTTTCACACGTGCATTCCAAACCTAAACCTATCTAGACTTGCCCAACTGCCCCATATTACCTGTCTTTGTTCAACTTGTGAGAAAGAGCAAGTGGAATAATGTGCTCCAACTTTTGAGTTGATATGTAAAGACAGCTTATGGTTAATGGGCAATCTGCTTCACCTTTATGAAAAGCCTTATGATTCTCCTTAAAACACAGGTGTTATTGAACTGATTAATTCTGAATGATTTCACAGCAAATTGTAAACTTAAGTAATTTAGGACAAACAGGATCAGGTTATGCTCATTTACACAGCTGAGCCTTCTCATATATGGAATAGAGCAGGAAATGTTCTGCATCAGAAACGTTTGCACATCTGGAATTACGTCACATGCTTACTTACTGACAGAGCATACAGAAGCATACAGTAGCAGTGAATGCACTAAAATATTAGCTGAACTTTTCACACACTGGACCAATCAGACATCAATTTTGTACTCTGTAATTAGCAGGTGAAAGAAAGAAGTTAAGCTCCATGTTGGTTGTGCCTTTCCCATCAGTAGTTTGAGTGTTTCCCATCAGTCCTGCACTCAGGTGCAAAATTTGTGCCTTCCCGATCACCACAAACACACCTTGTTTCATTTCGACACCATCTTCTTCTTCACTAGCTGCTATGCGAAGCACTGAGTGTTCAGACTTGTGACTTTCACATATGAGCCTTCCTCACTCTTCCAGTTCCATTATCTGGAGTGTGAGAGTCAGTGAGTCATGCCTGACTCACGCCTGCTGTTGTTATGATGCTGCTCTCATTTTAACAACATTGACAGTAGGATAGGAGTGGTGAGAAGAGGGACGAAGGAAGGGAGGGAGAAATAGATGAAAGACGGTGGGAAGAGGAAGAGACCCAGACTGAATGCGCTTGTGCATGTGTGCATGCACAAGCGCACGTGTCACTGAACACCTGCAGGCATGCGGTGTGTGACAGCATGACAAGGCAGCGTGTTAATTCACAGCTTGTGCGCTCCGAGAGTGGAAAAGGTCATTGTATGTATGTATGCATGTGGGAGGTGTGCATGCAAACACACTGTAACCCCTTCTGGATAAAAGCACAATCAAAACAACACCACTCAATAACAATATGCACAAAATGGATTTCTGACAAATAATTCCATATGTTTGTGATTCTGAATTATGTTAGCTATTTAAGTACTATATATATAAGCTCCATAATGTATTTTTTGTTAGGGGTTCACCTAAGACAGGTATTGTTGCTAATACAGAGGCAAACTGTGCTTGATTGCACTTAATGGCCTTATTTTTATTTGCATTTTTTCTGTTTTGGCCGTCTTTGACAAGCAAAATACTTCTTGCAGCACAAATAAGTCTGATTTTAGCTACCAATGCCAACAGGGAGATGTTTACAGCATATTGTTGGCCTTAAAAGGCTTTTTTGGCCTTATTGCAGAAAGGTTCCCAAAGTCGGAGGGCCAAGGCACTGTTAGCCTTCGTACTTTACATTTCTATCCCACATTGTTTGGAAGTCAGTGGCACTGTATCCCTCGCAATCTGGACTTCTTTAAGTTACTTGAAGACGTTTCACCTCTCATCCGAGAAGCTTCTTCAGTTCTAAGGTCAAATGGTGGAGAGTCCCAGATATAAACCTAGTGGGAGTATCCCCCCACAGAGGGATCGCCTGAGCCAAGGTGTGAAACTGGGTGTGGGTCCCAATCAGCCAGAGTTTGGGAGTGGGACCCACACCCAGTTTCACACCTTGGCTCAGGCGATTAGAGGATCATCAGGGGGTCCTTTTGTCCCTCTGTGGGGGGATACTCCCACTAGGTTTATATCTGGGACTCTCCACCATTTGACCTTAGAACTGAAGAAGCTTCTCAGATGAGAGGTGAAACGTCTTCAAGTAACTTAAAGAAGTCCAGACGCTTTTCTTTGCAAGCTCCTTTGACTACGATGACCTGGATGACTGAGAACCTTCACAGACAATTATTAAAGTAAACTTTTTTCTAAAATTATTAAACAAAATCTTTTTCTTGTTTAACTTTGTTTTGTTTTTTTATATGAGTGGAAAGTTGATTTTCAGTGCAGGGACTCCAATATTAAAAATCTTTTTGATGTCCTGCACATGTTTTTCTTGTTCCTATCACTCTAGTCAAGCCCGTAACTCATATTCTATTTACCCAACATGGACTCATTCTAGTATACTGAAAAACTGAAAGTCAAGGTCGTTTCCTTTTCCGACTCTCTTGAAATGCCAAAACGTACCAACTTTTTCATATATTGAATGAAAGGCATTCCCATTTGCCATTACTCTGTGCAAGTGTTCATTTAATATATGTCATGTCTGCAAAATAATGTCAAATAATTCAGTCTCTGTAAATGTATAAATCTTTAAATGTAAAAGTGTTGAAAGTTGCAGCAATGTAAAATGCCACTGTTACGAGATGCCGAAGTTGTGTTAAATATGATATACATGTTATCAGCATCGTTAAACAGACTCTGGTCTTTTCTTTGACAGATTTTGTGATCTGGTCAACAGCATAACAGAGGAAGCCTGGAAGTGTCCAGAGGAAGGAGAATGTGACACTGATACCTTAGAGGTAATTATTTTCGTGATACCAAAACACTTCCTCTGAACATAATGTTCATAATTTTTCCTAAATTAATAATTCTGCAGCTCTACCTCCAAGCACTGTTAATGAGAATGAAAAATCCACAAGTTCATTATTCTGCATTGTTTAGTCGCATCCTGTTGTGTTTCTGCGGTGTACTTTGCCTGCTTTTAAAATGCCACAGGAAATATGATACGATGTTGTCATGAAGAGACGAAGTGCTGACAGTAAAAACAAAAATTAAAAAAAGAAAAACCAGAAACCCATCTTTCAAAAGATAATTAGGGCTCTTCTTCTTTACTGACAGCCTACCGACTCCTTTCATGCAGCATTTATTACTCAGTTATTAAACGGTGAACGACGTGTTTTTGCTCTTGTTTGATCAAATTCCCCATCTAGCTTTTCTAATCCAGTTCGGCACAATTTGCATGATAATAACTGGATTGAAACTCAGCTTTGAACGCTCAGACAGGAACAGTAGCCCGCTGGGATAAGGCCTGGATTTTGTTCATGCGCTTTGTGTGACAGCGCAGAACAGGCACCTGCTGTTGCGTTCGCCTGCCTTCTACCAGCAGAGCCTAGGGAAAAGAATAAGCTAATTACGAAAAATGCTGCCGCACCCATCTTTGACTCAGCATGGCACAGATCAAATGACTAACAGGTTTTTCTCAGGGGGATTTTTATGCGTGTGATGCAACTCTAATCAGCCTGCACTGAGGGACGGTTAGTCTTCAGCTTACACCGTCCCTTAAGAATATAACACAAAATTGGGCTCTTGAGGAGTCGTCGTAAGCATTACTCACATTTTTTAGAAAACTTTGATTTTGAGGTGTTTTTACGGGGGAAGGAATCAGTGGAACAAAGCTAAGGAAATCGTGTTAAGAAGAAAAGAGCCTTTATTAGTTATAAAAACTCAATCAGACGTATTTTAAGGGAGTGAAAAGACTTGCTGATTTCTTTCATTCGTGCAACAGGTGCCAACCCGGTTCAGCAACAAGAGAATATTCATTTATGAAACAGTTATAACATAATTATAACAGTACAGTGGGAATGCAGAAAAACTGGTTTACTATGTTCAGATTTAACTCGTGGTTTACTCATTAAATCACTCTATTTTAACTATTAACTATTCTAATTTATTTCTCTTTGTCATTGTAAAAATGCATGGTGGGTGCATTTCTTCTGGTCAATGGACAGTGACATTTAGTAACCTCATGTTTTGGGTAATGGGATTTTGCTTTGATTCTTTATGGCAAATACCGTATATATTACTATTTATTTATTTATTGATTTATATATATATTTTTAAATGACAGTTTGCATGTTTCTCTTGTCTCCACAGTACGACTATGAGTATGATGAGCACGGAGAGAGAGTGGTTCTGGGTAAAGGCACATTCGGAGTGGTGTACGCCGGTCGAGACCTCAGTAACCAGGTCCGACTGGCCATCAAAGAAATACCAGAGAGAGACAGCAGGTCAGAAAAACAGCTGTTGTGGGGGTTTTTTGTTCTTTGTTTTTTAGTAATCATAGGGGAACAATGTTGCAATACGCATGGATGAATGAATCATTTCTATTGTTGTTTGCCACAGTAGCAGGAAAGTCTGCCAGTGGTGATATTCCTGTTACTCAGAAAATGAATCCTGTTTTTCATGACCTTTGCTGTAGTGCCAAGTCTAAGACTGGCTCATAATGTAGCTGGTAGACTGATGAAGAAACGGCTATGTTCAGTGTTTCCCACATAAACTTTATTTGGGCAGGCTGGTCAAGCATATTAATGGTCAACCAAGCATATTTGGTAGTGAAAGTTTTAGCTTTCTTTAATTTTATTAATAGAATATCCCGCTCTTATTTTGAAAAATCAGCAAGTCAGCTAGCTCGGTCGTTTCTGTCTAGTATGTCCTGACTGGCTCACAGGCCAGGCAATTGTTGTAGGGACATTTCATGTCCCGTTACTGTGAGCTTACCTAAGCTGCAGAATAAGCACCACTGTTGGCAAACTCACAGGAGAGATTGTGACAAATAGTGGATTACAATAATCATCAAAGCACTTGGTTATTAAGAAATTTCAATAGGGGCACTGTATTAAGATAATATGTATCATCTGTTTATTGTACTGCACAAAGATTGAATTTCAGCCCAAATGTTAACAAGTGTCTGTGCCGTTAATGTCTCATTTCATTCAGCGCAGCTCTGGAGTGTCATTAAAAATTAGTCCTTTTCTCTGGCTGAGAGTGCCAAGCTCAGTTCAGCTGTGTCCCTGGTGGTTTCTCGCTCTCAGAGCACTGGTATCCAGTTGAGTGACTGGTTAGTGGAGAGCTGTGAATGCAAACTCCCACCCTCTGCCTTTTTATTCCCATCACTGTCTCTGCTCGAAATGCTTGTCTCCACATAGTTCCACCTACTCATCTCATACTGCAAGACTCTTTTGCAGACTAGATGATTTCACACTTTGTTCCTCTAATCACATCAGCAAGCCAGCAGGGCGCTCAACTGCAAAGAATGTGGAGAATTTGGGTAAATAATTCACAAGTGGAGTGAAATCTCAAGATAGGAAGAGAAGGAGAGAGAGAGCGAGAGGCTGGGTGTGATTCATGTAGAGAGCTGAATGTGAAAAGAAATTGCTCACGGGCATTTCTCCCTAGTACAGAGGTACCTGTTGTTCTGGTCAGATATCAGGACTTAGCGTCGGTTTGATTTTCTGGTTTAATCTTTTATTTCTCAGTTTGTCTTGTTTTTACCAGGTTTATTTTACCTGAAGGAAAAAACACATTAGCAGGACACCGCCACAAGCGAAGATAGTTACTTGTTTTAACAAATCGTTGTTTTGTGCAGAACAAATTGTCTAATATATGTTAAAAAAAGATTTTTTTTTTACATAGATTTTAGACTTCCATTGTTTGTGGTTTACACCAGCGGTCCCCAACCCCCGGGCCTCGGGCCGGTACCGGTCCGTGAGTCGTTTGGTACTGGGCCGTGAGAGTAGAGGCTCAGGTGTGAAATGTATAGTTTTTAGGGTTTTTATCGGTTTTCAGCATTATTTTGTTATCGTTTTTATCGTTAACTCGGTTTTCCTGGGTCTTTTCACGTGTTATGAATAAATCTTCTTTTTTCCGTACCGGTACTAGTTTTATTTTGTTGTATTTATCCGCGACACCTTAAAGGCCGGTCCGTGAAAATATTGTCGGGCATAAACCGGTCCGTGGCACAAAAAAGGTTGGAGACCGCTGGTTTACACTATTTGGCTAACAAGTAAAACGTTCCCAGTTTGATTGGATCCCTTTGGGGTTACATCTGGAAGGGCATAAAGCATTAAAAAGTCTGCCAAATTAAACATGTGGCGCTACCTGCTGTAGCTCAACTTATAACACAATCACCTGTTTGAATAGAGTATTTGTAGACTCACGAGACACCAACACATTTGGCTATTTAAGTGTGCTACTAATATACTTACCTTCAACTTTATTATGATAATAACTAGATGTGCCTGCTACTATACAGTTCAAATCAGCTTATATGATTCCCAATTTGGCTGTTGATTGACTCCTCCACGTTTGCTGTTAGTAACTGACCCACAGATTTCTGTTCAGGATATAAAGAAACATGTACTGTTACTTGTTTTTACACAGGTACTCTCAACCACTTCATGAGGAGATCGCCCTCCACAAGCACTTAAAGCACAAGAACATTGTCCAGTACCTGGGCTCTATCAGCGAGAACGGCTTCATCAAGATCTTCATGGAGCAGGTGCCTGGAGGTGAGACGCTTCCCGATGCTGTGGAACTGTTAGAACTTAATTGTCCTGAAATAATTTTTATTGTCCAAATGGAGGGAAACCGGTATGAAACAAAATCAATTTTTTGATGTCAGAATGTGTTGTTTCCAGTCATACTTACACTAACAGTAAAAACACTGTTTGCATTTATAGATAAGATGGGTGATTTGCAGAGAAGTAGTATAAACCTGTACATAATGGCCTTAGTCCTCTGCTGCTAATCTCTGCTGAGAGTGAATATATTGATGATTGTTGTACTTTGTCCCCTGGTGTTCAGGGAGTCTGTCTGCACTGCTGAGGTCCAAGTGGGGCCCACTGAAAAACAATGAGCCCACCATCGGCTTCTACACACGGCAGATCCTGGAGGGGCTCAAATACCTGCATGACAACCAGATTGCACACAGAGACATCAAGGTAACAAAAGAAGGGTTTTTGCAGAGTTAACAATCTGTTGGTTCATCTTTTTGACATCTGCAGGCTCATTTTCAGAAAGACTTTCTGCATATGAAAGATGGATTGAACAATTGGACTCTGGAGTATTCGTTTTTTGGAGCCAGCCAACAGTGACCATGTTTAGGTGAAGGGTTGATGCAGAAAGTAATCAGCTAATGTTATCAAGCTGCACTCATACAAATTATGAGTGCGACAAAGAAAAGTACAGACAACAGATTCATAAAATACCAGAATTTCATTCACCAAACTTGAAGTGTAAACTTCCTGGACTGCCTGTACCTGACAACGGGCCTTGTTCATATAACTTCAGAACTAATACACTCAAAGGGAACAGTACTACAAACACTTGGTAGAGGTCCAGTTCATTGGACTTCTTAGTTGAGACAGCATATCGCTACAGTTTCTTTTGTGTGTGGGTTTGTGTCAATCAAAGCAGTCACTGCTTAACGTTAATATCCAGAACGGTGAGACCGAAAAATATCCACCTTCAAAGGGAAACTTGCTATAGAGACCAAAATGTCTTGTACCAGATAGTAAAGAGGCTGTTTAACGCTATAAAATTGGGCCATGCTTTAACATGGTGGTCAGTGGAGATTCATTTGTTTTTGCAGCCAACCTCATATAGCCATTTGTGAAACTGCAGCTTTTTACACTCATGTTAAAGCCCAGGAGGTTTCAGACAAAATAAACTCAAAACATCTTAAATTTGCTCTCATTGTTTGCACTTTACAAAGTGCACTACATTGCCACAGCACAACTTTGCACAAAAAAAAGTGTGTAGGACATGGTGCATTTTTAACCTTTACTTTAGGTTTAGTAAACAGAAGACCTAGTAAGTGTGAGAGCTACAGTAAGTCGACAAACATGCACCAACTACAGCAACTCGAGTTCTGTCAGCAGGAAAAGAAGAAAGAAGTAAGTGCCGTGTGACAGACAGATGATCTCTGCGCAGTCTGCTGCAAAAACACTACTTTGAAGCACATTCTTATTGCTAACGAGTCAATTGATGGTCAGAAACCTCTTCTCTCCTCTTGTGTATTTGCAAATAGTGCTTCAGTATTGTCTTTTTTGAGGCACATCAAGCCCCTTTACTTTCTGTGTCCAAAATGAGGAACAAGAGGTGACACAATCACACAGACCTCTAACCACTAAAGTTTTAGGAATTTCTGGAATCAGATGTGTTTATATAGTCAATTTTTTTTGCATTTTATTTCACGTTTATATTTGTTTCCTGTCACTGTTTATGCACATGTTCAGATGTAGGGGGGGAAATCATCCATGTCTGCACCAAGCTTCTCTGATATTTCCTTGATTACCACAGTTATACACAGCAGTCAGGGCATGAGCAGAGCAGTTTTCTGTCACTAGTCCTGACCAAACGTCTTCATAAGATGAGTTGGAACCTTTTAAAGTCAAAGTTTTAAAACGCTCACAAACTCAGGTTAACACTCAGGTTTTGCTTGCTATGAACTCATTAAAAAGGTGCCTTTGCTTCCACTTCAAGTGGTGGTGAATTTGACAATCTTTGCTATAAAAAACCTCCAAGAGATAAATGATTCCCCAGCAGTCTGACTTAATCAGATCAAACAGAAACCTTCTAAATCTGGAATTCAGAAAAGTCTTTTTAGCGCAGAATTCCCTCCTGGTGTTACTCTGGACAGATCTTTTTCACTTAGCAGCAGAGGATGCACAGTATCTCAAAGAGGAGGACGTAGAAGTAAAATGATATTTAATGCACATAAGGATCTCTGAATGTTTTCAAACTGCAAACTTTATCAGAAGAATACAACACATTTGAGGAATGTAAACATAAAAATGGGGAAAAAAACACAGTACTTAGAACTGATAAATCTTTCATCCGCACAAAAAGTAATCAGATGTTGTTTTTTGGAAAAAGAGGAGCTTTCAGAGTGACGTGATTCAGCTCCTGCAGAATTTCAGTTTTTAGGGTGTGTTAAAACCTTGTTTGCTTGTTTGTAGTCTGAACATGTCTTCCATGTGACTGTTTGCACAGCGACTTTGATTTGCTGCAAATGCATTCAAAGAGCATCCCAGCTGCTCACACCATTTTCTTTGCTTGCCCATTGGCTACAACAGGAATCATTTTTTTAAAGCAAGTGCCGCTCCCTTTTTTATCTCACTAAAAGTAAACCAACACTCATAACATTCCCATCGTAGGTAGTCATTAGAGTTAGAAGCCACATCCTTCTGATTTAACAACTCAGTCATATAAACTTCATTAGCACCACATAAATGTTAATCACCTTGTTTTGGCTTAGAGCTCCTCCTCCTCCTCCTCCCACACATGGCGTTGTAACCTACTGTTTCAAGATTTGCAAGCACCTCACGTTATCAATGCTATCACGGCTTTGGAATTTGGTGCATCTGTTCTGATGAATGTCTTTTCAATCCACAGGGTGATAATGTACTCATCAACACCTACAGTGGCGTCCTGAAAATATCAGATTTTGGCACATCCAAAAGGTTGGCTGGGATCAACCCCTGCACTGAGACTTTCACAGGTACAGTCCAACCCACTATCTAGATTCTCTTCCCCATAAGCAAGCCAGTATGAAATACTTAAGCCAAGTAGAGTTGTCTCCCCTGTTGTGGGGAGACTACTAGAAAACTTTATGGTAAATGGCCTGTATTTATATAGCACTTTTACTAGTCCCTAAGGACCCCAAAGCGCTTTACATATCCAGTCATCCACCCATTCACACACCCATTCACACACTGGTGATGGCAGCTACATTGTAGCCACAGCCACCCTGGGGCGCACTGACAGAGGCGAGGCTGCCGGACACTGGCGCCACCAGTAGGCAACGGGTGAAGTATCTTGCCCAAGGACACAACAACCGAGACTGTCCAAGCCGGGGCTCGAACCGGCAACCTTCCGATTACAAGGCGAACTCCCAACTCTTGAGCCACGATCGCCCCTTTATGAAACATCCTTTGTTAAAATTTGCTCAGTAGTGTCTGAATATTGAGCCTACTGCTGTTCTTTGATTGTGACTATTTCAGAGCAGTAATCCCATTTAAGTCCTTGGACAGTATGTGATATTCCTAAAAATAGCAGGCTGTTCCTATTTAGAAACTCTGGCTTTGGCTTGAGTCTGCAGTTAGATCAGCCTGATATGTAGACCTGTAATGTCAGCACTGCAGTTGCCAATTGTAGCATAGTTTGACCTCTGGAATTAGAGCATCTGACTGCTGCTCGAGGCAGACGGGGACTTACCCTGGAAGGCGGAGCTCTTTCAGGAAACTGGGCTACTCCTTGTTCTTAACCCACGCCTGCTATAAATGTGTGCTCGCCTGTTTTTAGCTCAGTACACGAGCTTTAAAAAGCAGCGGATAAGCAGCCTGCAGGCTATTATTAGAACAAAAGACTCCCTTCAGTGTGGACCTGAAAATGTTGCTCTGGACTGAGCTGTGATTAACTGACAACACTGAAACTCGTTGCTGTTTCTCACATAAGGCCATAAGCCTCGTTTAATCTTTTCTAACCTGATTGGCAATTTGCAGGAATTGTGTCATCACTTTTTGTTAGCTCAAATTGAAGCTATTTTTGGCATTTACATCAGTTCTTTCACAACCCTGCTGACGCTACTTTTACCTCACACAGACATTATCGGTTTATGAATATGATCAAAAAAACAAAAGCCAGATGAAAGTTATTTTTAGTAGTTTTTGTTGGAGCTCTGCAGTGCAAACCGGAAGAGTTACCAACAGCAACAGGGATTTCATCATTAGTGTTATACAAGCTCCAAATTCCCAAAAAGTTGGGACCCTTTTAAAAATGTAAATTAAAAAAGAACACATTGATTTGCAATTCTCAAAAATCCATATTTTATTTGTAATAAAACACAGAAAACATATCAAATGTTTAAACTGAAAAACACGGGAATAAGTTGGGATATGGCTATGTTTACCAGTGTACCTCTCTTCTTATAAAAACCATCTGTAAACATCTGGGAACTGAGGAGAACAGCTGCCGGACCTTTGGGAGAGGAATTTGGCCTCATTCTTATCTGATATAGCACTCAAACTGCTTAATAGTCTTAGGTCTTTCTTGTCATATTTTTCATTTCATGATGTTGTAATAGATGCAGTTTGAGGTTTAGCATTGTCTTGCTGAGATATGCAAAGTTTTCCCTGAAAAAGACATCTGGGATTGGAGCATATGTTGCTCTAAAATCTGTATATACCTTTCAGCACGGATGGTGCCTTTGCAGGTGTGCACACTGACGTTTCCATAGGCACTAATGAACCTCTATCATACTGTAAGTGCAGACTGTTAAAATGTGTTCTAAAAAAGCTGGATAGTCTTTTCGTCTGTACAGAGGACGCTGCGTTCATGTTTTCCAAAAAGATTTTAAAATTTCAATTCATCTGAGCACACAGCAGTTTTCCTCTTTGCCTCAGTCAGTTTTAAATCATTTTGAGCCCAAAGAAGGCAGCAGTGTTTCTGGATCATAGTCACCATGTCAGAGTCATGCCTGTTTTTAATGCTGCGCTGTTTGAGGGCTCAAAGATCACAGGCGTCTAATATTGATTTTCAGCATTGTGCCAAGCACACAGAGATTTATCAGTGAATTTTCTGATAATATTTAGTACTTTACATGATGAGATATTTAAAGTCTTTGTTATAATTTTGAAATTGTTCCACAAAACGTCTGCCCATCTTTGCTTCTGAGAAACTCCAGTCATGTTATTGAGCTGTTACCAATTAACCCAATTAGCTGGAGAATGTTCCTGCAGCTGTTTCTTTGTAGTACTAGTTAGTTTAGTACTAGTTTCTATTGTCCTTTTTGAGACTTGTATTCTTAGTACTTTTCATTCTTTTGTAAAAAAAAAAAAAAAAAAAAAAAAAAATATATAATATATATATTATTTAGATTATTATATATATATATATATATATATATATATATATATACATATTGATTGATTGATTGATTGATTGATTTATTAGTTTTGCAAATCAATGCATTCTGTTTTTATTTACATTTTACAGTGTCCCAATTCTTTGCTATTGGGGCTGTACATGGAACAATAGTGGAGGGAACAAAATAAGCAACAAAAGCACATTTTTCTGCAAGTCTAAGAAATAGTTTTAAACTGGGTGTAATCAAGGTTATTGTTTGCCTTTCCCTCACATTTAGGAAACTTATAGTCAATACTTGAATTATTTAATTGTTCCATGACTGAGTTGCTCAATTATTTGGCTGGATGGTTCATTAACTCTTATTTGATTGGGAGTAAAGTAAGAGTGTTGTGATATTAAAAGACAGAGGTTGTGGTGGAAAATAATCCCAGGCAGTTGCGCTGGATGCAGGTTTAAGAGATTGATTAGGACATGAACAACAATAAAATAAACTGGTATTGCTGACCCTTTGAACTATCTTTAAACATTGTTTTTATCTGACACCAAGGCAAATAAAAATAAAAATTTGACATAAGCAAAATGAGGCTGTGACTAATTAGCATATCATTATATAATGATATAAACTGAGCAGCTATCATTGATGCTATATTTACACACATGTTGTTTACATAAGCAAGAAATAAATCATTTAAAATCTGGTATACCTCTCAGCTGAAGTGTACCATGAGAATACCAGCAGTGTCCCTTTTAGTTAGCATAATAATGAAGCGTTCCCTCCTCGTTCCCTTTATAGCTGTTGCATAACTCTGTGGTTTGTCCAAGTTTGTTGACATTCATACGCTGAGTTGCTGCACTTTTACAACATTCTAGCAATGCTCTATTAGTAACAGGAGCGAATTAGATATTTGCGTCACAAATTCAGTCTGGGTTTCAAAACCTTTACACCCATAATCCACCCACCACCTCCTCTAATGCTCACTAATTGAAATGTTTTTGTTTCATTTGTTTGACACTTAAAAAATGAGTGGTTGAATTTGAGTTTTCATTATGTGTTTATTATTGTTTTTTGTGCGTCATTTTTCAGGCACATTGCAATACATGGCTCCTGAAATTATAGACAAGGGCCCACGGGGATACGGCAAACCAGCAGACATCTGGTCCCTTGGCTGCACCATCATAGAGATGGCCACTGGGAAGCCACCTTTCTACGAACTGGGAGAACCACAGGCCGCCATGTTCAAGGTGAGAGATTTGAACAGCGACATATCCCAATATCCTGCTGGGTAAGATGTCTAATTTTAGAAAACTGAAAGTAGAAGTCTGGCGAGCAGCTGTTTTCATAACGGCATCTTTCAAAAACAGTGGCAATGAACAGCTGCAGCTCTGCCAGGTCAATAAATATGAGGATGTTTGAGAGCTGATAATTGCACCCTTGAGACATCCAGTATGACAGGGCAAATAGTTTGCCATCACGTGTTATTAGCATATCAGCTTTACTCATTTGCTCCAAATGCATGATATCCTATCTATGTCTTTTTCAAACCATGACTAAAAACGACTGAAAGAAGGTTTGTTTCTACAAGAGAAAGACTGAAAACTCTTCTTCTGCCATTCCTGAGTAATGTCTTCATTAGCATTATGCAACTGCTGATCAAGAAATCTCCTAATACCAGTAGCTGTCAATTATGCACCAGCCAAACCTGTAGTACTGTTAGGATAAAAGTCTTGTATGAGCTAATAAAAAAAATAAATCCACCCACAAAAAAACTGCAAAGTCATACAAGTAAATATTATGTTTAAACTCGAAGTCAGGATACAAGAGGAAACTAATTGAAAACACCGAAACTGACCAGTACTTTTTTTCTTTTCTCAGTGCAAGTTTATTTAGTTTTTCGTTTACCCTTTGCTCAAATAATTTCAAATATTTGTTCTCTGACCTTATATAATGGTACCATTTTAGGCTTTTTTAAATACTTATGATGTCAGTAAGAACAAATGTGGTCATCTCATTCCCACAGCTGCTTTTTATTCCTTCTGTTTAAGAGGGGAAGACAGCTGGCGTAAAGGGAGATTGAAGGTATCTATAACAGTTTGTTTCACACACTCGATGACGTGATTGGTTAGATCAAAGTTCACGTTAAGATAAATTTGATTTCTTGAGCTGTGAACTATATAAAACTACTGTAACAGAGTTCAAGAACTGAACTAAAACCCCTTTATTCAGAGCACAAACAGTAGATACTTGCAGCTTTTATCATATTGCAATGTCATTGTTTAATAAAGAAGGTGACTCAGCTGTTATCACATGACTTAAACATGACACCATCAAGTGTCTGCTTGTAGGGAGAGATCACAAGAGAAACTGTTTGTTCAGCTGAAGTAAGGAGAGGTGGAAAACTATATATAACTGTGTCTGTTCTCTTTGGAAAAACCCTACCTTATGACTTCATGCCTCCAGCATGACACCATGTACCATGCTTTAACCTTTGCCAACCATCCAGCACACCCAGGGCTGTTTATGGAAACCTATTGTACATATAAACAGCTAATATACAGAGTACATTGTGTCCATTACATCTGTTTTTATTACAGAATTATGTTCCATGTCTTAAAAGAAAGGTGCTCAACGTAAAGAAGTCAACTAACAAGCAAAATAACCACCAGTCTTTCATGCATGCTTATCAGTTCCCTCTTTTTATGAAAACAAAACCAGAGTCATTCTGCACCTGCATTGGTTTCAACCTGCAGGCTATAATCTGACCAAGCCCAGTAGAAACTACAAATACTGTCTGTGCACGAACATTTGTTTGAATGCAAACAAAAGCATAGCTCCGTAAGAGGAACTTCTACAGTGGGCCTTTAGTTTCTGTGCGGGTGTGTCTTTGCTGGATCTCGTTAACCACTCAGTTTACACGTGCATTTGCTTTGGATGGAAATTTAAAGCACTCTGTACAGTGAATTATTGTTATAAGCTATGTGTGGCCCATTAGGGGCAGTAGAGATGTTTAAGAGGTGTCTGGAAAACATTACAGCACTCCTGTCAAAGCTCTGAATCATGGAATTTTCCATATGATGTGATTTAATTAAATATGCTGCTCTGCTTCGGATGCTTTGAAGTTTAAAGAACATGAAAGGGGAAACTTGGATCTCATCACATTTTATCAATAAAGATCACAAGTAGAGTCACAAATCTCTTAGGAGATCTTGTGTTTTGTCTGCACTGCATTGTAGCATTTCTTAAACATTCGTGATATACTTTCAGTCATCTTTCTGGAATTTCTCAAGGGGTGGGATATCTCCCTGCTAATCTTAAATTCCTGCACATCAACAACAGGAATTTATCATGTTTTTAATGAGAGTCTTGTGCTCGAAGTATTGTTACTTTCAGCTGCTGCCCCAAGTCACAGCCAGGCCTCGTGGATAGTCTCATATTCAAACATCACTGTGTAAACACTGCTCTGCTCTTTGCTCTTGCTTCTTAAACTTAATCAGATAATTTGCCCATTTCAGCAACCTCACACTGTCTCAGTTATTTTAAACTTGTTTCAGTCAGAACCACTGTAGCCAAAAGAAGTTACTGTTAGTTGTTTAAATTTTCCACCCCCTGTCTTTCCATGCACGTGTGTAAAAAGCATGTTACGAGAGCAGCAGAAGCAAGGCTAGCTGTACAAAACAGCGAACTGGGACTAAGTAGGAAAGAAGGAGTTGTGGTGGAAGTGGGCTGCAAAGTGGATTGCAGGTGAATAGGCAATGGCCAGGCTAAAAAAGATTTAACAGTACACCATATATGAGATTTGCCAAAAGGTTGACGCATCATCTAATGTAGGCAGGCGTTGAGATCAGCTGATCTGCCAGGATTGCAACTTAGCTTGACTTTTTCTCCTGCTTGAACTGACACTATGCTCATTTCTTTAAACTTGTTATATAGATTCTGAGTGCCTTTCATGCATGTCATTCTTGTGCAGGTGGGTATGTTTAAAATCCATCCAGAGATCCCAGAGTCCATGTCACCAGAGGCTAAAGCCTTTATCCTTCGCTGCTTTGAGCCCGACCCGGACCGACGTGCCACCGCGCTCGACCTGCTCACCGATGAGTTCCTCACCGTCACCAGCCGAAAAAAGAAGAGCAAGGGCAGCTTCACAGGTGGATCAGAGCATAGCTACATGACAATAACATTATTACCAAGACTATCCCCTCTATAACTTAAATAACTCGTTTTATTTCAGGAAAGTTTGAGACTCTTTGCTTTGCAGTCGTGCTAGTTTCTCTTATCTCCTTCACTCTCAGATTCACTACAAGCGCCGAGCCAAGCAGACAAGAGACCAGCGAAGCAATTATAGCATTACGAGTAATGAAGAGAAATGATTATATACTGTATGCACAATAAAAGCTCCACAACAAGGACTTATCTGTTTAAAACAACAAGAGTGTGAGAATCCAGGAGGGGGAGTTACCTTAATCCCTATGTTGGATAATAGCAGAGGCTCACATACAAACTAGAACACATTATTATAAAACTGTGACATTGTTAATCCGTAAGACCAATAAAAAGTGACTTCAACTTTTCAGTCAGACTGGTAAACAAAGTTTCTGAAAGAGACCTGCTTTGTTTGACATAATTTTCTCTAAGTGTAACAAATTTCCTAATTCCTTCAGCCACTTATCGAAGGCTGCAGGTATCTCCGACTTCCAGGAATGTAGCAGAATTCTACTTACTTACAGCCTTGATAAGGGAATGGCGTGAACCTCATAATGATCTTCCCCACTGCTAAAATCAACCACCTCAAGTAGTGCTCTAAGAGGGGGAAAAAGAAACTCCCCATTCAAAGCCTATCGAGCAACAGCCATTTTTAGGAGTTTTCAGTGTAGAATAAATGAATAGTGGATATCCTATTGACGATTCTGTTGCTATTCTATTATTATTGTTATAAAGTCGTCTAAATTTTAATAAGGTAACAAACAGTATCTCTTTAGATTAAGCTTTAAAGCAAATAGTCTTCAGTAGTAATACTAGTGGCTACAACCAGAAACCAGAAAGCTTCCAGTATCAAAAATCAAAAATCTTTGTTTGTAGTGATTACTAGATTCATCTAGTGCCAAAACCGTTTTTTAATTGTTAAGAATTTCAGGCGCATCCTTCATTATTTGGATTGTAAAATAGTCATTTCCTGTTGGGTTTTCACCCCACGGCATCAGTCATGTGCCTTCGCAGCAGTGCAGAAGATTAGAAAGAAGCTTTGTGCCTCTCTGCATGCTTTGAATGTTACCCTGCTTTCTGTTTTGTTCTTTTTTAACTGCTGACACATATTTTCTGTTTTTCCCTGCAGCTCTGACACCAGGATCAGGTGAGTAATTTTGCTCTCTGCACTTTTTCAGACACATTTACCACTAGTGGGAGTACTTTATAAACTAGATGTCATTTCCATGAAACATCACCCTGCTTTACTGAATAGGATCTGGGCTGCGGTTTGCATTTTTCTCTTGGTGGCAGCTACCTGCCTTGTACGACTCTGCCCTTTTGCCAGGATTCAAGATAGAGAGTAAACAACAAGATGGTTTCCCAAATGCTTGAATATGTTTTGTAATCTATTTGATCAGTTGCACACAAACACCATAACAGACAGAAAGCATGCTGCTATACAGCAAAATCTTTAGTTAGATGATGATCAAACAAACACCTTTACGATTTTGTTCCATCTTCTGTTCCCTGTGTCTTCTAGAGTATCTCCGCAGTATCTCGTTGCCAGTGCCCGTTGTAGTGGAAGACACCAGCAGCAGCAGCGAGTATGGCTCCGTCTCCCCTGACAACGACCTCAACACCAACCCCTTCATCTTTAAGCCAAGCATCAAGTGCTACAGTGAAAAGGATGTTAAGGGCCAGAGGTCCCTCTTTCTCAGGTAGAACAACTTGGACACCTCAGACGAGTCATTTTGCCTTAAATTATTCATTTGTTGTTACAGCCTTATGACTATAGTATTGATTTAGACTAAACCAGTATAAAAAATGTAGTCACCGTGACTTCACCCATTAGCTTATGTACATACGTGTTGAAGCCTTGAGTTGAGATGTCTTTGGGGGGTTTTTTCTCAAGCAGAGCCTGGCAAGCCCGATTATCAAGCTCTATTCATAGACTGTATGGATGCATCACATAGATACCTGCTAATTAGTGCTAAATGAAATGTAAATAAAGTGCTAGAATTACACTCACCAAAATTGGATCACAGACTCCCCGGATGGGCTTTTAGTACAATTAACCACACAGCAAGACGTTGTCAGATAATTTAATTAAAATGCTTCTGTCTGTCAGAGTGGCTGCTCCCCTAAAAATCCAAAATAATATGAGATTTCACCACCTGTACACTTGTTTTAAAAGTTAAAATCAGCAACAGAAAACAAAACCATTTCAGTATCAGGTCGTGAATGTGTTTATTTATGCTGTAATCTTGCACATTGTAAAAAGGGAGTCTTTGGGGATTCACTCGCTTTTGAAGCTCGCCTCCAGTGGCTGTTTGAGGAACTACAGATATTGACACAGGCCCAAGTTTCATTCCTGGGTTTTTGTGTCCTACAGTGATTTAAATTTAAACATGTTCATGTTTAAAGCAATGCAAAAACTTATTTATCTTATATTTAATGTCACCAGTAAAACATACTTAATTAACCTTGCTGATTAGTACCAATAGGGAGGGTACAGCAACCTGTACATATAGAAGGAACAAAAAAATTCAAATGGGGTTTCTACTTTTTCTACTCAGCATTCCAGTGGAGAACTTCGAGGACCACAGTGCCCCTCCATCACCTGATGAGAAGGACTCGGGCTTCTTTATGCTTCGGAAAGACAGCGAGAGGCGAGCTACCTTGCACCGTATCCTTACTGAAGATCAGGCCAAGGTGGTGGCCAACCTGATGGAAGCCCTGGCACAGGTTGGAAACCGTTGAGAATGAATAGATGGATATAGAAGTACATTACAAGATCAACAACACACACTTGTTCACAGGCATTCCAGTGCAGTAGCCAGGCTGTGCATGGAAAGATTAGCTCAGCTGTTACAGTTAATTAAATGAAGGGACCAAATAGCCAAAGGGACTACTCAAATGAATTACTAACAATTAAACAAATTTTAAACTGTACTAAAATAATTTAAACATGGAAAAAAATTCTTAAGTCTATCTGATAGGGATGTTAGTAAGTTGGAGTTGGAAGCTCCTGTTGTAAACCTAAACCACCATTTTCATCTCTTCTTTCCCCGCTTGCCTCCTACCTCAGGGCTCAGAGGAAATGAAGCTAAAACATCAGCACATCTCCACCCTTGTGGTAAGTCTTGCTGACTTTGTTCGGATGGCAGACAGGAAAATCATCGCCAACACCCTGTCTCAGCTCAAGCTGGAGCTAGACTTTGACAGCACTGCCATCAGTCAACTGCAGATTATGCTGTTCGGCTTCCAGGATGCTGTAAGTGCTAATAGAAATACCGTGAAAAAGATACTGGGTCAATCCAATGAATCTCAGCTACATTTCATCTGTGATATCCCACTGGGCTCATGAATAATTGATCATAATTGGAATATGAAATATAACCCAAATCAATAAAACATGTCTTGTGTTTGCTGCAGCTTTTTAGTTTATAACCAAGTGTCTTTAGCTTACCCACAGTAAGGATCAAATTTTAGTCTACAGCGGTCACAAACCTGAACTGCTACATTGATGATTTGCTGCTGTAATTCTCCTCACAGGCTCATTATTTTCTGATTTCCTGTTATTAAGTACCCATTTGAAGGCAAAGGTGCTTCTCGCCGCTGCATAAAACAAAGGCTCTGAACAGTGTAATTGTTGTCATTTGAAATGGGCTGCAGACAGCTGCGGGCTGCCTTGTTGCTTTTCTTCCTGCTCAGAGATTAGACAGATGACTGTGGAAATACTTGTAACCTTTAAGTGAGGCGATAAAAGGGGGAGATCTGTCAGGAGTAATTGCACATAATGTTAAAAGGCTCATCTGCTCTCCCCCTCAAAAATGCAGTTATGCAGATGAAATGGCACCGAGCGAGTGGTTGTTTTCATATTTGTAAGTGGGATTGTGTAATCGTGCTGGTAGATGAAGCTCTGGTGCCTCCTGTTGGTCATTGCTGCAAAAAAATTAGAGCTTCACAGTGCGTGACTGCAAATATTAATAATGCCATGAAGAGTAGGCTGCTTTAAAAATCCCTTTGGGGATATTTAGTTATTGCAGCAGAAGTTAAAATGAAGTATAAACAATTCTCTTAAGAACAATTCTTGGAATGAAATCTGTGAGGCAAATACGAATGAACTCATTTTTATTTTAGGTGTAGAATCACTAATAGGTAAAACATTGTAAAACGTGCTCTCATGAGTGTGAACATCTCCATTTCCAGGTGAACAAAGTGCTGCGAAACCACAACATCAAGCCTCACTGGATGTTCGCTTTGGACAACATCATCCGCAAGGCTGTGCAGACTGCCATCACGATCCTGGTGCCAGGTAGGATCATCAGTGTCTCAAGCAGAGCACCAGTAAATAAGTTATGACTCTTCCCTCGGGGCACGACTACTGATACAGGAGGAGGGCATTTGCTGCGCAGGCCTGTGTGTGTTCACAGCCTATTTAAAGACAGGAAGTAAAAGGGCAATAACTTGAATGGATTACACACCTGAGTTTCATGCAGGGCAGATATTATGTTTAGCTGATTATAGGCCCAGATTGAAATGAGGAGAAGTTCTAGTTGAACTGTGTAAAGTGGTTCAAGAGAGTTTCAGATCTACAATGTGAAATTATTTCCTGTTTTCACCAAAGAATTAAACTCATAAAACATCAATAGTCAGTGGGATGAGTGCTAAATTTAGCTATAGTTATGTCACAGACACCCAGCGCTATTTTTGTTTTTTTCCACCTTTGTAATGGTGTTTTGTAACAAAGAACCAACAATGTTCAGGTGTTTGCTTCATTATCAAGTTTGAATCTTTAAAAGCACACTCGAGTGGAGATCTTATCATACGTTACAACAAAGTTCACTACTCATAACCCATAGGAAGTATGCTGTATCAGTATCAGTACCAGATATTAGTTATATATATATATATATATATATATATACACACACACACCCAGCACGCCCCTGCGGGCGGTTTATCCTTCAAGCTCGGGTCCTCTACCAGAGGCCTGGGAGCTTGAGGGTCCTGCGCAGTATCTTAGCTGTTTCCAGGACTGCGCTCTTCTGGACAGAGATCTCCGATGTTGTTCCCGGGATCTGCTGGAGCCACTCGCCTAGTTTGGGAGTCACCGCACCTAGTGCTCCGATTAGGGGACCACTGAATGAATGAATATAGATAGATAGATAGATATACACTCAACAAAAATATAAACGTACAACACTAGAGGCCAACTCCAAGCCCATAGCACAAGTCACCATCAAGTGCGGGATCTACCAAGGAGATGCTCTGTCCCCACTGCTGTTCTGCATAGGCCTGAACCCCCTCAGTGAGATCATTAACAAGACTGGCTACGGATACCGACTACGGAACGGAGCAGTTGTCAGCCACCTCCTGTACATGGATGACATCAAGCTGTATGCCAAGAGTGAACGAGACATCGATTCACTGATCCACACTACCAGGCTATACAGCAATGACATTGGAATGTCGTTCGGACTGGAGAAGTGTAGTCGGATGGTAACAAAGAGAGGGAAGGTAGTCAGAACTGAGGGGATTGAACTACCAGAAGGCAACATTGCAGACATAGAGGACAGTTACAAGTACCTGGGGATCCCGCAGGCGAATGGGAACCATGAAGAGGCCGCTAGAAAAGCTGCAACCACCAAGTACCTGCAGAGGGTCAGGCAAGTCCTGAGGAGTCAGCTGAATGGTAAGAACAAGATCCGGGCCATCAACACGTACGCCCTGCCCGTGATCAGGTACCCTGCTGGGGTAATAGGCTGGCCAAAGGAGGAGATAGAAGCCACTGACATAAAGACAAGAAAGCTCCTTACCATGCATGGAGGGTTTCACCCCAAGTCCAGCACCCTGAGGCTGTACGCTAAGCGGAAGGAAGGGGGCCGGGGACTGGTGAGTGTCAGCACCACAGTCCAGGATGAGACAACGAACATCCAAGAATACATTGGGAAGATGGCCCCAACTGACCTAGTGCTCAGTGAATACCTCAGGCAGCAGAAACCCAAGAAAGAGGAGGGAGACGAGGAACCATCATGGAAGGACAGGCCCCTGCACGGTATGTACCACCGGCAGATAGAGGAGGTGGCTGATATCCAGAAATCCTACCAGTGGCTGGACAAAGCTGGACTGAAAGACAGCACAGAGGCACTAATCATGGCAGCACAAGAACAAGCTCTGAGTACAAGATCCATAGAGGCTGGGGTCTATCACACCAGGCAAGACCCCAGGTGCAGGCTGTGTAAAGATGCCCCAGAGACAATCCAGCACATAACAGCAGGGTGCAAGATGCTAGCAGGCAAGGCATACATGGAACGCCATAACCAAGTGGCCGGCATAGTGTACAGGAACATCTGTGCCGAGTATAACCTGGAAGTCCCGAGGTCAAAATGGGAGACGCCCCCAAGGGTGGTGGAGAATGACCGAGCTAAGATCCTGTGGGACTTCCAGATACAGACGGACAAAATGGTGGTGGCTAACCAACCGGACATAGTGGTGGTAGACAAACAGAAGAAGACGGCCGTAGTGATCGATGTAGCGGTTCCGAATGACAGCAACATCAGGAAGAAGGAACACGAGAAGCTGGAGAAATACCAAGGGCTCAGAGAAGAGCTCGAGAGGATGTGGAGGGTGAAGGTAACGGTGGTCCCCGTGGTAATCGGAGCACTAGGTGCGGTGACTCCCAAGCTAGGCGAGTGGCTCCAGCAGATCCCGGGAATAACATCGGAGATCTCTGTCCAGAAGAGCGCAGTCCTGGGAACAGCTAGGATACTGCGCAGGACCCTCAAGCTCCCAGGCCTCTGGTAGAGGACCCGAGCTTGAAGGATAAACCGCCCGCAGGGGCGTGCTGGGTGTTTTTTTTTATTTTTATATATATATATATATATATATATATAGTGGGGCAAAAAAGTATTTAGTCAGCCACCGATTGTATATTATATATTATATTATATTACCGTGTTGTGTGTGTGTGTATGTGATTTTTTGTTTGTGTGTGTGTGTGTGTGTGTGTGAAGAATAGTGGAGCGAGTAGGTACTTTTCAATGCATTATTAATACTGATGCAAAATATCAGTATTGGTATTAAATGATATCTGACACAAACAGCTTTACTCATCAGAGTCAGCACTTCGCGTCTCCTTGTGGTGGAAATTATCAATTAAATGAGGTTAAAGATAACAGCTGTTACCTAAGTTGAGGTGAAAAAGAAGGAACCAACAGATAACAGTGGAAAGCAAATCTGAGTGACTACTTGAAACAGAAAATCTTGACATTTTCATTTTAGTAAACAAATTATTGGTAAATAAACAGTCTGAAACAATCCAGGGGTGTTTAGCTCATTTTAGTTCTTTGGCTACGCAGAGCCCACTTTGTTCTTAAGGGGCTGAAACAGTAAAAATATTGTTGTTTAAAAAAGTGTTAAAAAGTAGAATGCTTTCTTGATATGTTTTCTTTTAATATCTTGAGAAAAAAAATAGCAAGTGCAATTTCAACAATAAGCCTCAGTTTTTCACATTTGGGCACTTTAATGAAACGGCATTGTGTTAATCAAATAAACACAACTGATTCCAGTCTCTGGAATTAACAATTCAGACAACCTCTCACGATCACTCTTATTACAGGGCTTCCTCTAAAAGTGATTCTTTCTCTCTGCATGCAGAACTCAGGCCTCACTTCAGTCTGGCCTCAGAAAGTGATGCAGCCGATCAGGAGGACATCGATGATGACGGCGAGCCGGACAGAACCTCCACGCACCAGAGCCGGGCGCCCCCTGGCGCCGCTCACGATGACACGGTGGTTACCTCGGGAGTCAGCACACTCAGCTCCACCGTCTCCCACGAATCCCACAATGCACAGCGCTCCGTGAGCATGGAGCTAGGGAGGATGAAGCTGGAGACCAGCAGGTAGGCATCTGGTTGAAGGCCGTTAACAACAGCATAGGACTTCTTCATTTAACCATAGTTTATCCGTTTTAACCTGCATCTCTCTGTTTTATTCCAGGTTGCTGGAACAGCTGCTGGAGAAGGAGAGGGAGTATCAGTCCATCCTGCAACAAGTGCTGGATGAGAGAGAGCAAGAGATCAGACTACTGAAGCTGCGAACTGAGCCTGAAGGTCTCTACTTTAGTCTGAATTACTTTCTCACACTCCTTTTGCTGCTTCTGGTATTTTCAGTCTGTCTTTACTTTTTAAAGCCAGCTATTTCTCACTGAACAGACTTGACTTTCACTTCTGACTTTTAAATCAAAATGTACTTTATACTTCCTAGAGCCAATGTTAATTAAAAGTTTTTCCCTCTAGTTCAGTAAACAAATTAAACAAGCCATGACAGGAACAATGCACATGAACAAAGCTTTCTCATCACATACCGGAGGTGTAAATTAAGTGACTTCTAATTTGCTGGTCTGATCAGCTACTCCAATATCCAACTCCGAGCTGGTGAGTGGGGGGGGGTGATATCCACTGATGATGGTTGCTTTTCTGTAAGGGTAAAACTCATTATAAGAAATTAGTAGAGCAGCTTTAAACAATCTCAATTATTAGGCAAAGTACACTAAAATTAAGATATTTTCATCCACTGTGGCCATTTCTCTTATACAGAGGCTTTTATCTGACCAAATAAGAGTACGCGTCACCTTGAAAGCAACATTTAAGGAGGTTTAAGAATATTAAATGTTCAGTTTACACAATTGCACAAAGCTGTAGCGATAGTGACTGTGACTTGTGACAACAAGGTTGCTTTTTTGTAGAGAAAAAGCAGCATATCCTGTTACTGCAACAGTTACACCTTTACAAGCTGCTTTACAAGCAAACAATCATGGCAAAAAGTTCCACATGAGTGCTGCTGTGAAATATGGACCTAACCACCGGGACATCATTTATTTGTTCACCTTCTATTTCACAGCCTCAGTTTTATCTGTTTTAATGTCTTATCTGGTTTCTTTTCTCGTACGATACATTAGCAGAGTGTCAATCAAAAGGTAGCTATGTCCAAAAACACTTAAACTCTTTAGGAAACTACTTGTTGAAGTGAAAACCAAAACAGAAGCACAATACTTTCTCATAGATTTCTGTGCATTCACACTTTATCCCCCCAGCTGGCCACTTGAAAGAACGATGATTAAAGCCCAGACCCAGCAGCTATGTCCATCTGATACATGCGCTTCCTGTGTGTACGGCATGTTTGATCTGTCGTTAAACTGGTTGTTTTGTTAATGTTTAAATGTTTGTTTTATGGAGTGTTCTCAAAATCTACTCTGTTAGACACCCCCACATCTTCGCATGACCTGGAGGGACAGAGGAGCCAACCTGCAGAGAGACGTGACGACCCAGAGCTGACCAGCTGGCTGACACGTTACGGTGCTGACCAGGATGCCATAGACAGGGTGGGTCTCTGATTTTTTTGTTGATTTAACAAAGCCCTTTTTAGGATGATGCAAGTAAAGAAAAACATTTCTGTAAATGTAATTTTCTCCACTTTGTTTCTTTAGATACTCAATGAGGAGTATACATTGTACGACATCCTTCATGATGTCACAAGAGATGATCTGAAGAGTTTAAGACTGAGGTAGAAAATGATTTTTTTTCTTTTACTTTTAAATATTTCTATATTTGCTTCATATTTTGTGTTCAGTATTTAGTCCCCAAAATACGTGCTGAAACTTGTACCTGACCGGAAGAGAAACAAGGGGGTTAAGATGGGAGCGTTGCATAATGGGAGTGTGTTGTTGCATTTCCTGTTCTTACACAAAAGTTTCAGAAGGCAGCTTTGTACTTCAGCAGTTCTTTGAGGCTAATCTATGAAGGACTTAATTTATCACAAATTCTCTAAATCTGTTTATAAACCAAAATTTAATTTAATTTGCAGGGACCTCACAGGTCAGTAAGATACTGTTCTAACGTGGGCAGTTTGGTTTGGACGTAGCTATGTTGCCATGCTCAGGTTGTGACGCTTAACCCGATGTCTTCTAAAATGTTATTAGGATGAAAATAGCTCTGAATAATTACTCAAACAGGTCACACCAACATGAATATTGATGTCTGCTACTGCAACAGTTTTCACCTCCTCTTTAAAGTTTCTTTGCAGCACTGCAGGTCCAAGCATACTAATTATACTGCATTCAATTTAGAGTGAAGCATGAATAAAACAAACTACTATGAAGTTCTTATTGGTTGTGTTTGATATCTGGCGCCACACTGTGGTCATATCAAACATTCAGCTATACACACCATATCCACTAAATTGCTTCAGGGTATCTCTAGGTCTTTTTTGTGTGATTGTATGTTTTGGGGTGGGGGTGGTGTTCCCCTCTGATGTTGCTGCATTAGAGGGGAACTTACTGTCTGCACATCTGACCCACAGGTTGATTGAAATTGTGTCATGCAACAGGACAATGATCCCAATCACAAAACTTAATCCCAAATAGAATGGCTAAAAAAGCAGGAAAGGAATCAATAGCCCAGTCAAATTCCAAACCTCAACCAGATTGATGAACTGAAGTAATGTTGTGCCGATAAAGTCATACAGAAACATTAGTTATTACACAGAGACCAGGGAAAATTGTCCTGTTCATGACCGTACAGTCTTAACTCTGTGTGATCTGTGCTCATGAGTCCCTCTGACTCTCAGGACAAAGTACCGTAAACCATTTAAAATATGATATTTTCAAGTAGGTTGACAGCTGATGGTTTCTTACAAATGGTATAATATTCATTGGTGTGTGCTTTAAGCTAACAGTATTTTGTTTGTCTTGACAGAGGTGGGGTCTTGTGTAAGCTATGGAAAGCCATCACAGACTACAGGCAGAAGCTATTCTAAGGCCTTAAGTGGTGACAGCCACTCAGAGAAGCCAGGACTTTTTTTTGTCCCCAACAACTCCTCTTTACCTCAGCGTTTATAAAAGCAAGATCCTGGAGAAGAAGCTGTGTTGACCATGTTCCACCCACACAACAATCTTCTGGAGTATTTTATAATTTTGAAAACAAAGAGTTTGGATATTAGGTCATTTTGAAAGTAAAAATTAATGAGAAGTGCCACTAGTTTTGTTATACCTGATGGACAGGGCACAGCTTTTGTTACAGGTGTGTTTAAAATGACAGCTGGTAGGAAAATCTATTATTGAAATCTTGAAAACTGTCAAGAAAAACATTTTCTCCTGTCTTTACAAGATGTGACGTTTACAACTGATCGTTTTCTAATACAGGCCTGAGATACAAAATACTACATTCATCTGTACTGATATTTTTATCATTGCTTATCTTATCACTACTTTATTTAAATGTGTTTTAATTTAATTGTTATAGCAATCTGAAGGATGTCATTCCATGTACTGCTTTTGTTTTTTCTTTTATTTTGTTTTTTGTTTTTTTTCCAAACTGAGACTTATTTAAATTGTCCATGCTTTTTTTTTTTCCACATTTCCTTTTATAATATGAATCTACAATTTTATTTTTAAGAAATCTATTATGTAAATATAGTGTTATATAATTCTATGTGGATTACATTTATGTACTTTGAAAAAGACATCTCTAAACACAGTCAAATCTCCATGTAGATTGGGCCAAGTTTGCAATGAGCACATGTGAAAAATTAATTCTGTATTATTGTATTTTCTAGTATCACAAATCATAGATCATACTCACTTAATTGACAAAATTGTGTTTATCTTGCTTGTGTTGTGTCAGCTTCATTCAGTCAAATATATAAGTTGTAATGAAAAATCTGACATGCAAACAAACTTCATGTGGAAGAACCTTGATGTACTTTTTTATTAATATTTTAAACCATAACGTCAGAAATTGGGGGGGGGGAATCGGTGAGCCTTGTGTCTGTTTTGTTTCAGATCTGATTCAAGATTGTTGTGATATATTGTTAAAATAAAACTTTTCATCTTGAAGCTGTGAAGGAACTGTGTTAGAAGTGTTCTTCAACAATTCACTCTAAATGTGGGAGCAGGGGGCTGATAATGAAAGTTGTTCTCCATAGTAAATTAAACACAAATAACTGTTTTGTTTTTTTCAAAATGAATAAAAAAGGCACTGCCTCTGTTCCAAAAGAGTAATTTCTGCACTTATCATCTAGAGGAAAGGTCGTTCATTTAGAAAAACAAAATGTTAACAATAAAAAGTTAGGACTTACTATATGAATCATATATTTCTCTGCTTATTTCCGTATTGTGTTTACCTTACATTTCTCCATTATTGTATGTTTACTCCACTACTTAATATGTTACAGAGATCATTTTCAAAGCTTTACATGTTTTTATCGCCTTTGTATGCCAGTGTCAATTTTATCTTTATAGAATAGTTTTTTACATGTTAACTCAATGTTATTAAAAGATTAACAAAAGAAATAAACTGTAGCCCGACAATGGCTACTGTTAGCTTGAATGAAATGAAAACAAAACTTAACATACACTCGGAGAGCATCGTTAACTGTAAGACTGTGAGAATAAAACTCTTTCAATGCTATTTCGGCAGCTTGTTCCAAATAACAGCAACACAGTAACTAGTAGCACCCTGAGGAGCACACTTGGATCTCATTTTAGGAACAGTTAAAATACCAAAACTCTATTGCACAATGCATTGGTTTAGATTAAATTATCTAATATTATGCAATAAGGTACAAAGTAGTCATCGTGATATGTTAATAAACAGTTTTGAAGGGGACATTGCTACCAAGCACTGCCTATTAAACTAGGTTTATACACAGATATGCAAATATAGGAAAGCAAATAAACACCAGATTGTAGAATTAAAGATATTTAAAAAGTTAACAGGTATAATTTGAAGTTGGCCTTAAATCTTGTGTGATTTTTTTCCCCCCACAGACTAAGTACAGAATACAAATACTTCTTCCAACAATCCATAACAAGGCTACACTTACTATCACTCACTATTAATAATATCAGGGAGAGACTAGTAGCACTTGATAAATCAACAAAGTAAAAACTCATGAAAATATAAAATCTAACAGTTACATTCATAATTCAAATAAAATTTTAATGAGCAAAAATATAAAATAAATAAATGCAGGTATTGCAGTATGGGATAGTAAAGATTTAATCAATGTTTAGGAGAGATGGGAAGTCTTATTTCTATGTATTTGTTGAATTTATTTATATTTTATGTCTTTTATTTTATTCAAATCATCATTAGTTAAGATTTTAAAAGATGTTTAGATTTTAAAATTATTTTAACATGATAGATTAATTAAAAATATACGACACTGACTCAAACAGCCCCCGCCGGTGGATGAGAGCAGTTAACAGGTGAGCTGCTTTTCGTCCTGTTTATTCATCCCCGTGACGTCAGCAGCCATCGCCGACTCCCCCTCACCATGACAACAGCAGATTTCCAGCACAGTCGAAGGACGAACTGTAAGCTCCGCGGCTCTACGGTTACAGCTGGTTGTTCAGCCTAGCAGTGGCGTTAAACGATATTAACAGGGATATATTTAATGTAGGAAGGCCGTCTGTGCCGGAAAGGAGTTTCATGAGCGGGAGGCCAGCCGGAGGCAGAGGGAGACGCCGTCTGACTGTGTGATCAACAACATGGCTCTGCTTCAGCATCCCCGGCTGCTGCTCGCCTGTGTAGGGCTGCTGCTGCTGCTCACCTTTGGCAGCATCGACGCTCGATCTTCGCCTATATCGGACTTGAAATCCAAAATATCCGGGGTGGAGGAGCTCTTGGAGGAATTCCGCAAACAGCTGCAGCAGGACCAGACCTACAGGACAGGTGAAGTGATGGACTCCTGCGTGGGCGACTTCAGTGCCGCCGGGGATCGCATCATCCGGGCCAAGGACTCCATCGAGCAAGGAGCCACCTTCCTGCTGGCCCCGGACAGGGTGTACACCAGGAAGGACTGTGTGCACGCCTGCTGCTCCCAGCCTCACTGCACAGTTGCGGTGCTTCACGAGGACCAGAGGCAGCCCGGGGACAGTCTCCGCTGCTACCTGTTTAACTGCACCTACAGGAGTAAGAATGTGTGCGCCTTCTCGGCTCAGAAAGGCTTCACGACATACAGCCGGACTCCCAACACAACGCAGGGACACCTCCCTGTTTCATCTAGCGACTCAGCCCGGAGGCCCGGAGAAGAAGCTCCTGATGAGGATGATGCAGGTGGGAGACCCTGCAGACACACGCAGTGTTAGTTACTGGGTTAAGAACTGTTTTATAACTGATAGGTTATTTAGAAAATGATAGGATGTCCATGCCTTCATGTATGTTTAAGTAAAATTGATGGAGCGATAGAAAATAGCATGTATGGTTGCTGAAAAGTTATTATTCATTAGGATGTTTTTCCTGTTATGACAGCAATTATTTCTTGAATTATGATGTTATAATTAGATCACCGATGATCATATTGGATGGGCTTTTGTAATCTTCTATATGAGGTGTTATAAGCTAAGATACCAAAAGTAATTTATTAATTTTCCTCAGGTTTGTGGCAAAAACCTTCTTTGGGTAATTTTCTGTCACTTTACTGTATTTTTATATTTAATCCCACCAGGAAACCCTGCTGTTAAAACAGGATAAAAACTTTTCTGTCAGCTTTGTAACAGCTGACAGAAACTGACTTTAACAGCAGAACCAGCCTTTAGCACCTGCTTCTTATCCAGATAATGCAGTAGAGAGGGTTAATGATTTGCCTCATAGGTTTGTAGCCTTGCCCTCCTGAGAATAGAAGCAGATGTTTTTGTGAGGGGCTTTGGGCCTGAGCAATGGAATTAAAAGGATATATGTGGATAAAAAACAAAAAATATCTAATCATGTTTTAGCCTGCGATAGAATCAAACATGATTTAATGTGAAAATTGGATGAAGAGAGTAAATAAAGAGGCATGTAGAGGACACTTTCCATCTACCTGTGCTTGATGTTGCAGACGTGGATGAGCCTCCTCGCAGTGACGCTGGACAGGATGTGGTTATCCAGCTGCCCACAGATTGGGCTGTGCTGGATGGCCGTGACAGCGTGGACGACCACGGGATCCGCCGCTATGAGTGGAGTCTGATTAAAGGAGACACAGCCATCAATATGAAGGTCAGCATGTGCCTTAGTCAATACAGTCTATACAGGTGTAGATGAAAGCCTCTAACTATGGCGGTGACAAAGGATTAGACTAAAGATCCACATATATACATCTCTATTGTTCTCTCCTTCAGGTGTCTCTGATGTTTTCATTTGCAATATGAATACCCAGAAAGCTAAATGCGTTTGGGTATTTTCATTAGTTAAGTCAACAGAGTGGCTTGTGTGCAGAGATCAACACAAATAAAGAGCTTATTATTTCTAAACTGCCCTTAGGTAAGCAGCAATACAAGACACTGTCCTGTGGTTATAACATTAAAGAGATTTTAAACACCCTGCACAGCTTTTCCTGTTCTTATGTAAATATTAAAACCACTAATTTTCTGTATTTTCTACCTTTAACAGAAAATAGCTCCCAATGAAAACAATTGGCAGGAAAGTACAGAACCATGTTGACACAGTGCTTATTACAGAGCAACTCTCTGTTCATAGCAGGTTGCACAACTCTTAAAAACTATGTATGGCAACAGTAATATAATATAATGTAATATAATATAAAACTCATGGGCCAAGTTATGGAAAATATTATTTGGTCTAAAAAATCTACAGTATAATCTAATATGAAATCTAAGAACCTAGGTATGGGGAAAATGAAACAATTGGAAGATAAACTAGTGGGTGATGCTGTCAGAAGATGTCCAGTCTCAGCATTTTATAGGTTATTCTGCTCTGCTAATTTTGCTTTTAATGCTGGGGGGGGGGGGGGGGGGGTGGGCGGGGGATTCTGACTGCAGCACAATGGCATAAAAATAACAATAGTACAGAAATATCAAATGATGTCAGATACAAAACTCTGCAGCTAAAAATAACACACAAAATCAAAATCATCAAGGCAAAGGAGAAACAACACAACACTTATTACTATGTATATGTATTGTATATCCTGCCCTGGTACAGATTTTCATTGATAAGATAATAGATAGACCTTACGTAGACCTTATTAGCTTAAAGTAGAAAAGTAGAAAATACATTTTGTCAAAATCAAATAAAAATAAATACAATAAAGTGAAATAATTACATTTAATATGTAATGTTGTAAGATCTAACAACAAAAAATATGTCAAATTCAAAAATGCAAAAAACATGTAGGAAACAAAAAAAACATGTAATATAAACAGCATAGTAAATATCAGATGGCGTCAGTATGACTGTAAGTGTTGTGATTGTGCAAAGATAAAATAAAGCGTTAGCATGAGAGAGTAGATTTTCTCTGCTACACAGATGTGGTGCATTGCTAGGATTGATTGCATGTGGTATGGAACATTTCCTGTATCTGTTCTTTTGCCAGTGGAGCTGAGCCAGTCTGTCAGAGAAGTAAGTAGGATGGATGTATGATCCATGATGCATATACTGCTACATGTTTAAAACCCAGTGCTGTTTTACAGAAGTCCTCATTAGGTGTTTTTTTAATTTGGCAAAACAAAAGTCTAGAAGTTGATTGCTTCAGAGATGTATTTTTTGTTTGTGCTCTAAAGTCAACACATCCAGGTTTGCTGAAGATCAGTGGCCTCCAGGAAGGAGTCTACACGTTTCAGATGACAGTCACTGACACGGCGGGACAGAAGAGCTCCGATAACATCTCTGTCACCGTACTGGCTCCAAAACACCAAGCAGAAGGTAATGAATCACCAAAACTTCCATCTATGTTCTGCAACTTCCTTTGTGCTGCACTGATTACCGCTAAAGGGTGCGTGACTTGTGACATATTCCTTTACCATTTAAGAGAGAAGATATGTAGTTACTGTATTCTTATCTGTGCCCACAGTATGTACCGGTCACTGCTCAAACTACCAATTTAAGTGTGATGACGGTTGCTGTATTGACATCACCTATGCCTGCGATGGGAAGCAGCACTGTCCAGACCGCTCAGACGAAGACTTCTGCCCAAACTGTAGGAAACACCTAGTACTCACTTTGTTAGAGCTGGAAGACTAATCCAATTTTCATTTCTATTAAAGTTTCACTTATAATGATTATGCATACTAGATAAAATTTATTAATTTCAGTACAAAACTCTTTTCTCTTATAAATCAAGAACGACACTTTCTTATATGGCAGTGTGCTTCTGAACAAGCCCGAACTCACTCAGGTTTCAGCTGAAGCCAGCATGACTAAAAAGACAGCTGTTGGTCAATTAACCTGTAAAAAGTATGTGTTATGCTAATGTACAGCTGTCTTAAAAGATCAAATTTACAACCAGTGAGTAAAATAGCTGTTATTATATTTATGTGATGAGTGGATAATAGAAGTCTTTTGTAAGGCTGAAATTATTTGAGTCATTTCATCAATATAAATGCTAGCAAAAATCCATAAACATACCTTCCCTTAAGCGATGGCTTCTTTTGTTTTTTTCTAGTCGATGGCAGCCGAAAGTCAGTGACCCACGCTGTGGACCTGCCCAGCCCTCAGCGGCCTGTCGCTCAGACAAAGAAAGCTGAAGACGACTCCATGCTCCCGACTGGAGCCAGGAAGAGCATCACACCGCAAGACACAAGCAAGGTGGCTCCTTCTCAAAGTGCCAGTGAGCAGGAAGCTTCAGTCAGTCAAGGTAGAGAGGTCAAAGTCCTTGTAAAAGCATGTAAAACCACTCTGAAGGCATCTTAAAATTGTCATTTTAATGTTCTCGGGGATATAAAAGCAGCAAATATAGAATCACTACTCAGATAAGATTTTTTTAAAAGCACTTAAATTAAAGTGAGGTTTAAAAAGATGTTTTCTCCCACAACTTGTACTTCGGCAGCACCAACTCAAAGTTTCACAGGAGTGTGGCTTGATTGATGGCTCAGTCCATAGTGCCAACATGATCGACATCTTGGTTCATCCCACCAGACCAATGATAAGGATGCTTTCCTACATCTTTACTATGACGTTCAGATATGCCTGCCAGCACACGGTTAACATACTGTGAAAGTCTTTTGCGGACATGCCTCAGTACAATTCAATTGGCTCATAAATCACCAGACTGCCTGTTGATTGGCTCTGAAGGAAGGCCGTAGTTCTCCCATAAATTTCTATTCGGGGTTCTTTGAGTGCCTTGGCTCTCTCCTATAACGTCTCTGGTGGTGTTCATGCTCCAAGGTACTTGGAAAAACACTTATTTAAACGGAGCCTTTGTACAAGATGCAGAGATATAAAGTGAAGTTGAAATAGGGACAGGGTTCGCTCCATCATGATAACCACTGTAAACCACAAGATGGTGCCGCAAGTCCAACATAAGAAATTCCATTAAAGCAAAAATTAACCAACTGTTAACACAACATCTGTACAGAGTTCATGTTAGTAATTAGTTAAGAGTTTCAGGAATATTTAGCATTAATACTGGTTGGGCTGGACGTCTGCACTAAAACTAGAGCCAGTCGTTTGTCACAGCCAGCGGTCTGGCTCCAGTAAAACAGTATGTAAGCCAAGTTTGATTGGCCAACTGCTAGCCTGTTCTTAAATGTGATGCTGAAGTTATTAGTTCACCTGTAAAGCAAGCAGGGTCAACAAAATACTAATAGTTATTTCTTTTCTTTCTATTTTTACAATAATGAAGCTTTTTTTTTTTTTAGCAAAATAAAGAAGCTATTCTTAGCAGCATGGACAGCAGAAAGGAAGGCAACCTTTGTTGTCCAGGGCTAGACACTGAAATAAGAAGCATATGGACTATAAAGCTTATTTTGGAGGAAATAGGTTGGCATGTGTTATCACAGAGGTCGTTTTATGGCGCAGTCCCAGCCTCCAACGAGGCAACGCCACAACTAAGACAGTGTGCAGCCAAAACCTTTATAGATGAAAGCCCATGTCTACAGTGTACTCAGCTATCGCATTATTAGACAGATTTAGGCAATTAATATAAAATGGTGATGTTAACTGTGTTTAAAACACTTTAGTCACACTTTGGAGCATTTCTTCATTGCAGTCTGTTTAGGAAAGGAGAAACAGAAGAATATGAAAATGTAGGATACAGGAATTTGTGTCATTGGTGCAGAATCCCCTTTGTGAAGAGACCAAGAGGGTTTGGTGTGTCTGGGTACTGAAGCAGATGGAGCCTGTAGGCAGCCACTGAGTCATGGCACGGAGCTCAAAATGCTGGCAAAGCCACAGGGCCACTCTGCGGTCCCTGGGAAAGCAGCTCTTTGCCTGCATCCACTCTGAGTGCTGGAACAAAGCTCCTCTGTCCGCTCTGCCATCCGATCCCTGAATGTCACTGACCACACTGCTGTTTTACTATAGATATTTTGTGCTCAAGGTGGATTCTCAGGAGTCTTTTCTTCATTTGACAAATGCACGTCCAAGTTCTTAGGAAACTAAGATGATACCTCATTGTTTAGTGCTCAAAGTCAAAAGGAAAAATAGTTAATCCACTGTTGTGTAGAGGGCTTTGACCTTTGCACTCAAGGTGGATGATGACATTGGATGATATCTTAAGTCGCTGGTAGAAGGGCTCGAAGTAATCTTAGATGTCCGTATCACTTTATCTCTTTATTTAGACACAAAGTCCAAGCAACAGTCCTACAGCCAAGCTTGTTTGATGTCCGATATCAAACATAGAAAAGCTTGCAGATTGTCAACAGCAGTCTTTTGGTCACCCTTCATTTCTTTATCTTTTGCTAGAAAAACAAGAAATGCATGCACACATGGAAATACAGTATATAAAGCAAAACAGAGTTCGTACCTTTATTCTTCTACACAGCTCAAACTCCCTTAGATAAACTTTATTGTAATTTATGTAAATAGTCTTCAGGAGTAGTTCTCTAAGCTTCATGAAGGACATCCAAAGCTCTTTTTTGGATGTTGACCCTCTTTTGTTCTGTTCTCTGTCAAGATAATCCCACGCTGCTTCAGTGATGTTGAGGTCCGGGCACTGTGAAGCCCAAGTCATGACTGATGGTGTTCCATTGTGTGTTTTTCTGTCAAGCTACGCTTTTATTGAATTGGCAGTAAAAAGACTGAATCTAAATACTTTCATTTTGGATTTATCACTCCATCAGAAATGTTGCCACTGACTTTTATCCCAGTTCCTGTGTAATATGGGATACATCAGCCTTTTCTCCCTGTTTCCCTTCCTTAAGAATGGCTTCTTCACAGCCACCTTAGCACTGAGACCATTTATGCCCCTCTATGCTTAATTATTAATATGTCAGTATTAAGTTGTTTAAGTAGAAAATACACTGAAAATAGTCAGATACAGTCATTTTCGCTGTTGCCGAATTCACCCAAAGATGTAAAGTCAGGGTTATTCGAGTGGTGTGCCATTCTATTAATATGGCAGTATGTTTAATACTGTAACAGTATCTCTTTTATTACATAATAGTATTTAATATTGATTATTCAATGCTAAAATCAATTTGCCTGAATCCATTTGTAGGACAAATGTTGAAGAGTTTGATATTAAAATTGTAACACCAGCTACGAAAGGCTGTATTAAATATGTACTTCATCTTCCAGCCTCGACCTGAGTGTTCAACTTTGAGCTGTTGATTTTTTTCAACTCGATGTGACAAATGAGGGATCAGCACAGTGAAACTGAGGACACTACTGTTAGCCTTCCTGTCTCTAATAATTAGCATACATTCCAAAATAAACTCATTTTGTTGTATTCATTATGATCTGAAGCTGGTGACTGAGCCCATAAAATTGTTTACTGAGGTCACAGATCAAGGGCACTGAGGACTGTTACCACTGACTTCTACACAACTGGAAGTCTTCTGCCAGCCGGAGGAGTCTCCCCATGCTGGCCACTAAAGAGGATATTGCTTTTTTACTACTGTCTCTGAACAGGTGTCATTGCTGTGCAAGAATCATTTAAATGTGTTAAATATAAAGGCCGTGTCTTGTTCCTTTAGACCCATGTGCTGCTGCTCCAGTTGTGGGACCCTGTAAAGGCACATTCCCACGGTGGTACTACGACCAAAATGTGGGAGAGTGCAAACACTTCCTGTATGGAGGCTGCCAGGGAAACCACAACAACTTCCTCCAGGAGTCGGACTGTGTCAGTGAATGCATACAAAAAAGTGAGAGCCCACCTTACATTCATTTTGATTGATTTATTTTGTAGTAAGATTGACTTTATTATGTACGAACACCTTTTAGGTCCAGCTTTCAGACCTGCCAGTGTGGCTCCTCCAGTCACCAAGCAGACTGAGATAGGTATATTTATCCAAAGAATCAAACACATGTCAATAATTCAGTGTTGTGAGTCAGCCGTTTTCTCATCTAAGCGGTTTTATTTTTTAAGCTTCCCCTAAAGCCACCCAGAGCCAAGCAGTGAGTGACGCCCCCATCTCCAAACCATTTCCAGTCATGGGAGGACACCCAGTCCCAGAGTCAGGTGAGACCCAGAGCTTCTGTCTGCTTTTTGTGGCTCTTCCCTCTCTATCCGATGACCTTTTCTGAATGGGGCGCATTTCTTTCTCCAGGTGCCATCCTTCCTCTGGCACTTGGCCTAATCATCACCGCCCTGCTGCTGCTCATGATCAGCTGTCGTCTCAGGCTCGTCCGCCACAAACTGAAGAAAGCGCGTCCCCTCACTACAGAGGAGTCAGATTACCTCATTAATGGCATGTACCTGTAGCCAATCAGAGACCCGAGAAAAGAACCATCAGAGCCCGATCCAGGACGTTCTGAATTTGCACTCTGCATTTCTTCGATGTCTCTTAATTTATCCTCGTTTCCTGTTAGAAAGATCCAAAGCTCTGCTGCCGTGAACGTTGCCGAACGCCTCCACACCGATCCCCTCTGACTGGCACTGTATATCAGCTGCTGATAGATTCAGCGAACATACTGAGATGCTTGTGAATTCATACTTATGTCCTAAGAAAATCACTGATGGAATATCAGCGTTTCTCCTTTACTTCTGATACATATACTAAAATAGACACTTGTCTTATCTATTACAACTGATTAATTAAACACTGGTTACTTTGAGACAAACATGTTCATTTTACTGCACAAAACATGCGCTATTTCTGCCTCTGTGCGACTTTAATGTGCCATATTTTTGCTGTGTGTTTTAATCCCATTAAATTGCCGTACGGCAGACACAAAAAGCATCGAGTGCCTGTTACAGTCCTATAGGACCTGATTTTTTTTCATGTACATAAACACATATACACACTTTTGCAATGGTGGATGTTCATGTCAAACTTAATCAGAGTCTAATCATGTGGTCAGCATATGTGAGCGAGAAGGCTTCAGACTCTGTTAAATGCTGTTTCAGGTCCTTTTTTCTTCCTGCTGGTTCTTTAGGATGTCAGTGAGAGCAGATATTCCAAATTTGGTCACATCAGCCACACGGACATTCATGGGTCTGAGGACAGAAACCCAACCCACCTGTCAAACCTTCTGTTTATGGCCTGTAGCTATTCAGAAAAACAGAGTGTACTTAATTTGTCCCCAAAGGTCAGGCAGCCAAAATATTCAACACAGCCTGTAATAAAATATTTGCATAAACAGAAAAATAAAGCAGTGTTTCTCAGACTGTAGAGCATAGAGTCACAGTAGGTGGGGTGTGAGTGAGTTTGGTAAAGTGTGAAGTTTAATGAACATTATTTTTTTAATGAAAAATTAAACACTCGAAGCTTTGCTCATGAGCTTTTCTGCTGACCTTTAGTCCCCTGAATTTAAGCTTAGTCTGTTTTAAAGCCAAGTATGCCAAATAAAAATAATAAGCATTATTTTGAACTATGAATCATATGAAGCTACTCTTGCTAAGTCAAAAATGTTATATTATGCGGCTGGAAATTATGATATGTTTCCTTTAAAGTTTGCCAGAATCATATAAAACTATAGCAAAGTCTTTTGGTGAATTTCTAGTCCTGTATGATTTTGTTGCGTATTTTTCTCTAATAAGGCAACATAATTGGAGTGTATTCCATATATCTATATATATATATTTATTTTGATAAATGTATTCCCCCAAAGTGCTGTCTTTCATGTAACATATTAAAGTTTATTATATAATTAAAAAGTACCGGGGTTATATATGTTAACAACAGGATTTGCCAAAACGATTTTATTTAGAGATGATCATCATATCTGTAGAGATTCGTCTCTCCCTCTTGTATTTCTGGAATTTTGATAATCAAACATTTAGTCCATCGTGTAAAGAAAAAATCGTTTAAAATCATTTCGCTTTACAACCAACTTTTCATTACTTTGTCGCAGTGTAGGGTTTGGCGCGAAGAAAACTGGATTTCTATCACAGCCCTGTCTTTTTTACTGATGGTGTGCCGAGCCAGTTCCACCTTGGTTCTTTTAGAGAATCAGCATATATTTCAACAAGTACAGCGACTCGACTGTTGATGTAGGAGAGAACTTGAAGGCTGAATCTGTTAATCTTTTTTTTCTATTGTAGCTTCGAGGTATGCCCAGCCATTTTGTGTCTTCTATTGTGGCTGTACATGGAACTGATTCTAGATTTAGTACCAACTTACTCACTCATCTGCTCCGTTATTAGGTACACCTGTTCAGCTGCTCCTTATTGCAAATCAGCCAATCACTGCAAGCAACTCAGTGGATTTAGGAATTTTGATGTGGCCAGGACAACACTTCTGAGGTTCAAACTGAGCATCACAATGGGGAAGAAAGGCCATTAAAGTGACTTTGAATGTAGCATGTTTGCTGGTGACTGATGGGCTCATCCGAGTATTTCAGGAACTGCTGATCTGGGAGTTTCCCCAAACCACCATCTCTAGGGTTTAGAGAATGGTCTGAAAAACAAACTATCCAGTGAGCAGCAATTCTCTGGGTAGAAATGCATTGTGATATCAGAGAATGGCCAGACTGCTTTGACCTGAAAAGAAGGCAATAGCAACTCCAATAACCACTCATTACACCCCCGGTATCTCTGAATCACACATTGAAGCAAATGGACTATATCAGCAGACCATTCTGGGTGCCACTACTGTCAGCTAAGAACAGAAAACTGATGCTACAGTTGGCAGAGACTCATCACAATTAGTCAATAGAATACTCTAAAAGCATCACCTGATGCTCACCAGTGCTTTATGTAATATTGTAGGGTCTACCTTACAATATAAAGTGCCTTGAGGCAACTGTTGTTGTGATTTGGCGCTCTATGAATAAATCGTATTGAATAGATGTGATGAGTCTTGAGTACTGCCGTCACATTTGAATGAAAGCATGGCTCTATCCTGCCTCGTATCAAAGCTTCAGGCTGCTGGTGGTGGCGTAATGATGTTGAAGATGTTTTCTTCTATTAAGGTTCTTCTATTCAAACACCACAGCATACCCGAATATGGTTTGTGATCATCTTCATCCCTTTGAACCACCTCCTTCAAGCAGAATAACACACCGTGTCACAAATCATCTCAAACTGGTTTCTTGAACATGATTTGCATGTCCTCAATAGTCACCAGTTCCTAATCCAATAGAACACCTTTGATATGTGGTGAAACGGGTGATTCACACCATGGATGCGTGACCGTGCGATGCTATCAGTTTAAAATCTCTGATTAGTGTTTCCAGCGCCTCGTTGAATCCAAAGAATTAAGTTATCTCTGAAGGAAAACCCAGGAATAGTAAGGTGTACCTAACAATTGCAAATAAGACTTGTACAAAAAAGATTCAATAACAAAAGGCAGACAAAAACATAAGCATCTCTTTATTTTTATGCCATTCCAGCAACTGTGAAAGCCAAATATAATCCATCACTCAGATCACCCAAAATAAAATGTGCTTTTTTTTTTAATTTCATGATTTTTTTTTTTTCATCAAGAAAACAGACATTCATTTGCTTTATATTGTTGGAGTTTATTTTGGCAAAGCAGTGACTTTCCCCATTTAGTGTCAGTCACCAGAGGAGCCTGCACAAATTGTTAATGGAAACCAGCGGCAGAAAGCAACACATCAAAGTGGAAAGCACAGCCTGTATGTGCGTGCGTATGTGTCGGTGTCATTAGTGCTCTGCTCCCTTCGGAGTATGTTCGGTACGATCCGATACTTATTTTACGTGCTGCACATGAAAACAGGATGTGTGTGTGTGTGTGTGGTGGGGGTTTACATCAGGCTTTGTGTGTTAATTTATGTGTGTGTTTGTGTTCTTAACACTGATGCCACGGGAAGAAAGCTCATACTTTAGCAGAGAAGTCTACAGTTTTTATGATCCACACACACACAGACTGTAGCTAGGTGATTTATCTAACAGGCTCAGGCGTTCTTCGTCTTGGTTGTCCGGGGTTCCTCCTGCATTCAGCTTTGATGCTGCTGAAATGTAATGCTGTGAAAAATGTTTGACTGCAAATCAAATGGTGAAACCACAAAAAGAAAAAACAAAGAAAAAACTAAAAATCCAGCGGTTAAAACGAACACAAACCAAAAAGGATGCAGACCTGGAAAACAAAAACAATAAATCTCTCTCCGATATTTCTGTGCAGAGCGTCAAGCAGTCTTTCCTCGCAGCCCCTCGGGGCCGTCATCAAATGTGAAACTCTAGTCCGTTGTTAGAATTAAACAAACAAACAAACAAACAAACAAAAAAAGAGCACGTTTGTTATGCTTTGAACAAAATGTCAAGGGCTGTCCGACCCATTCCAAGTTTTCTCCAGGTTCAAACTTAAAAGGTGGATTATGGACTGCGTTCCTCTTCAAAGTTCATCCCTGTGAGAAACACATTTTAAATATTAGAACACACAAAAATTGAGGCAAGGTGCAAGAAAAACAAGCAGGAATCTTGCTGTCATGCAAACAGAGTTAAAAGAGAAGACCGCATGCAACATGTTAAGATAAAACGTCATTAGAAAAGTTGTTTTCATCTTTCAAAGATTATCAGATAAAGTAGTTGAGTTGAAGTTGGGTAATAAGCTTCCAAATTGGCAAAGCAGTCATGCTCCTGAAAACCAATCATGTGCCTTCAACCTGCTGTGATTTCAGCTCATTCCCTCATGTTTGAAACAGAGCAGAGTGCATTAATCAGGCAGCTTTTATTGAGACCAATTTAGAGCTACGGGGGTTAAAAGAAGATGAAGGAAACGTGCAGCTAGTTGGTATGGTATGGAAGAAGCAAAAAAATGTCAACAAGCAGCAAAATGCAGCCCCTTGTGATCCATTGCCTTGCTCCAAGCCACACCATTTCACCTTTGCCACTGTGAGAAGGAGAGAGGGGGAAGGAGAGGGACAAGGAAGTCACTTCCACCTGGACCACTGCTTGTCTTTGTCTGTTAAAGGCACATAAATCACCCCCATCAAGGGCTTCATTTTGGTGCTGCCATCCTCCATCTTGTCATATTGCTCCAGCATTTGATTTCCCCCCGCCGGACCTACGGGCAGAATCAGCCGCCCGCCGGGCTTCAACTGGTCCAGAAGCTGAGGGAGGCAGAAGGGAGAGGCAGCGGTGGACAGCAAGTCAGCTTTAAAAATACATTCCAGGGATTCTATTTAGATACAGTCATACTGGATCAGATATAAAAACACACTAAATTAAATATGAAGCAGGTTTACAGTTTAGGTATCCAGCCTTTGTTGTAAAGTAAAGGGTAACAATGTGCTCAGCAGAATTCAGAGACACTCACAGCTTGGGGAACGGTGGGTGCAGCTGCGCCAACGTGGATGGCATCATACGGCGCCTCCTCAGTGTAGCCCAATCGCCCGTCTCCCACTGAAACAGCAGCAGAACGTCAGTCACAAGCTGTCGCACTGAAAACACTGATGGATGTCCCCACAGGGTGGGACGAGACACATTACTTGGCCAATGCTGCATCTGACATTTATAACAATTTACCTGATCTGAGAAGCCAGAAATAGCCGAGTAATGCTGATAAAACTGCATCTCAATATTAGTATATTTCAGTATTTCAGGGCTGGGAGTTACTTTCATATCACAGATTGCTTTTGTTTATTTACATTTATAGACTCAAAGGGTGTCTCTCATTTTACTTTGCCATTAAATATCATTAGTTGTGTTTTACCTAATCAATCAGCAGACAAATCTTTTTTGGTCTGCTTCTTTTTATCTCCCAGTTGCGAGTATTTTGTTTTACCCGTATGTGCCGTTATTAACAGACTAAATACAGAAAGATTTCAGAATAAGGTCTGAAATCCAGGCTGCCCATCTAACAGACTCCACTAGTCGCTGCTGGCAACTGGCAACAGTTGTGCAACATAAAACAATGAAATCAGACTCATGGCAGAGCAGCTTCTGCAAACCTGAATCATGTGCATGCCATTTCTTCAGACCGAGTAAAAACAAAACAGCTGCACTGATGGTGAAAACCTGCAGAGGCCTAACCACAGAAAACCGATTAGGAATCCAAAAGAGAACTGATAAAGAATGCGACCAAGAAAACATAAATCAACAAAGGCACTGCTATTAATAAAACCGACAACCACCTGTAATCACATACAGTAAAAAGTGATTTACGAAATGAAAGACGAAACAGAGAAATGAAAAAATAAGCATCACTGCTCTTATTAATCCCCTCACTGAACTGCTCTTGAACCCCCCTTCAGAGGAGGTAAAAGTCCTCACTGCTCAATTATTTAGAGCTGCACGCTGTTTACTGACTGCTGCCCTTTTCTCCACCGGGGAACATTAAACTGTCTGCTGTTCGGTCGGATCAAGGAAGCAGCAGCCCTTCCTCAAAACCCACAAACATCTGCTGAAAAAACAAAGATATAAAGCTTTCATCCGCGATGTCTTACCTATTAGCTTGACTCGGCCCGATGTTATCAAACTGGGGTCATCTTTCTTCACGTTGTTTATAGAATCATCTACCAGCTCTTTGATGTGATCGATTCCTATAACTTTCCCTTTAGGACCTACCTGTAAAGCGCAGAGGGATGAAGAGAGTGTGGGGGGCGCGCTCAGTTCAATCACGACGTTCACAATGTTCAACGCAGTCAATCTGATTGATTTTCATCGATTGGTTGACATATTAGTGGATCAATCAGCTCAATTAATCAACAATGCCACCAAAGAGAAGTCGTTTGTGTTTACCCGTCGCGTGTGTGGCTCACCATTCGTGCGAAGCAAACCGACAGGATCCCACTGCCGGAGCCGACGTCCAGAGCCTTCGCTCCCTCATACAACTGGTCATGTAGAAGCTCCAGGGCATAGGCGTGCTGGGGAGGCAAAACGAGACAATAGCATTTCAACCCATCACTCACACAGCACAGGCTAACACACGGTAATCCCAGCGCAGGCCATCTGTGAGGCTTGTTTCAGTTTTTCATGCTTAAAGTGGACCTATCCTGCTCATCCTCAGCTCCATAGTTATTATTCTTGTAGCTTTGTACGATTCCTTCTGTCTGAAACAAGCCGTTTTAGCTCCTCTCCCAAATCGAGATGATACTAATAGAAAAGGGCTATAAGAGGCTGCTGCCATGATTTACTGCCACAGACGCCATAAAGTTTCACGCGACCTTCCTGGGAACTACAGGTGTAAATGATTAGTTCTGCAAAAAAATAAATAACAATAAAAATAAATGAACAAAAACCTCAATAAAAAGCTAACATCTGGGAAACATCGTTCTCTGTGACATCATCCAGAACAAAAAGTAGAATAAAAACAAACAAACAAAAGAAAACCCTGGGCATGTTTAATGGGCATCTCCCGTGCCATCAACAGCAGCAAATAAGGAAAAACATAACGGATCCACTTTAAGCTTCTATTACTCGACTGAAACATGCCAACAATGAGCACAAATGCACAAAACTGTGAGGATTTGGTTAACTGCTACTGTTATCTACTAAAAATAGATGATTAGGAATGACTGAATGGGACCAAGCTTCACAATAACAACAACAAAACCATTCAAAGCTGTGATTCACAGGGGGCAGAAATGTCTGAAAGTCTTTAAAGTCCTACCATGTGTGGGGCGCTGATGGTCGCTTGATAGCCTTTTGGTTAAAAGACAGGAAGTAGGTTTGGTTAGTTTGAATCTCAGATCTCCGTGCGGCGATGCGCGAGCGAGTACACAAGCAGACGTACCTATTGACTGCGGCGAGTCCATGTAAGGGTGAAGCCTAGAGAAATGTGCTCGGTCTGTGGCAAGCATGACTTCGTAGACCTTGTCAGATTTAATAATGCCATTTTCTGAGGAGGCAAAAAGAACAAGATATATATATATATTACATAATCCCGCAGCAGAATCAGACAGACAAAAAGAATGAAGGAGGACACAATATAGAGATATGAGACAGCAAATTCACAACAATAAACTACTTTTACTAGTACATAGCCTCATTTTTCCAAATCATGAACAGGACTGCTCTAACAAACTACTGAATTTTCATATTTTTGCATCACTGCAGTAAAGTATAGTAATTTATCAGGTATTTATTATTCTTCCTGGCTCAGAACAAAGTTTCAAGGGGGTGACTACACATCTAAGTACAAGCAGTCCACACAAAGTTAAAGCAAAACATCTGTGTTGCCTTACTCCAGGGAAATAGGAGTAGTTTCTGTTATTTCTGACCATTAAGATGCATAAACACATGCTTCATGCTTAAGTGAATTAAGCAATTATTCTTATCAGTCTGGTGATTTTAATTTGAGGGAAGGCCAAAACCCTTGTTTATATGGAAGACAAACACGCTTTATCAACCCATTAGGCATGTATGATCGTGTTTTTCAAAAAATATACCAAAGATGATCAGGAGAAAAAAGTAAAGAAATAAATCAGGATTACTGGCAAAATTACAATTATTTTGGTCAACACCAAGATCACTCACACATGTCTGGATGTTTGAAGCCATCATGGGAAAATTTTTCTAATTTGGTGTTTTAAGGCAGAAATTAATGTTTACATGATGAAATGTGCAACGTGAAGGCTCAGCTCACTGCGTCCGTTTAGCTATAAACAGACGTCAGAGCAGGGAAAACTGTGGTTGTCGCACTGTGGGACACAAAGCCTCTGCATTGGGGTTTGTACAACCAGGTGACAATTGCAAGGCAAAAGTAAGATGATGTTTTCTTATGCTTTCAGCTGCTCCTTTTAGGTGTTGCCTGAGCGAATCAGGTCCCTCCATCTCCATCCCTGGTTATGAAAATTTTTCAGTAAAATTCAACTAATTTAAGTGAAATTTAAGTAAAATTCAACTTGGATCTTGTTTTTAAGAAAGAAGTGGGGTAAAGTATACACCATGTTACATGAGAGCCAACCAGGACCAGAAAGACAGGTCATGTTTCTCCCATATCAGCTTGTCTTCATTGGCCCCTTCATTGGTTTCTGAAAGTAGAATGGGAGGCAGAGCCTTCCAATATGAGCTCCCAGTTTGGCTTCAAGAGACAGACACCCTTCTTTACTTTTAAGATTGGACTTAAAGCTTTCCTTTAAGAAAATGCAGAAATTGCAGCCTAAACACAGGCTGTGACCCATATGTGCTGACCAGTATGTGTGCAGCAGAGAAACACCAAAGCTTACAGACAGGCCACCAAAGAAACAAACAAAAAAGCTTCGTGAAGAAGCGTCTTCACAATAATCCCTCCTAACGGGATCCTTTAGCAGTGAGTGCCAGAGGCAGGAAAAAGCCAACGACAGC